GAGCCCGCCCTCCAGAAGATAATTCTGGGGTTTTTTTTTATCTCTCCCTTGTACAAACAAAAAATTAAGTTAATAACTAAATATCTATTTCTCTATAGCTGCTGTTCAACCTACTAAAGTGAGTGCTGTTTTTCGAAGTTGTGGTATAAGGCTCTGTTGAAACTCTAGCTGCCAGATTACTTTGTCAGAGTCAACTGCATGAGAAGAGATTCTTTCCAAATATAGACAAACTGAAAATAGCAATCTGAAGACACAAGAACTATCTGGCATCTAAATAGGGAAATAGACTGACTGAGGGAAAATGCTAATACAACTCTTCCTTCATTGAACCAAGCAGAAATAACAAAGTTTTCTACAAAACCAAATGAAAGTAGTTTTGGAGCATAAAGCCGTTTGCTCAGTGAGTCCCCTGTCCCTTATTATTAATACATATCGGGTTTTCATGCATGCTGTGAAATCAGGTTGAAAAGACTGGTAAGAGACCTGACCTTGGCCCTCAGGGAGCTAGGAATCCAGAGTGTCCTTGAGCTATATTTGCTTGAACACATGACTACACACCATTCCCCTCCCACTCCCCAGATGCAATCTATTCAACAAGTATTTATGGAGCCCCCACAAGGAATGTGCAGGCCCTGGCCCATGTACTGCCTACACATTCTCTTATTTGTTCTCTCAAGTTCAAACTGCTCGATTCTGGATGTTTGTCCTTCTCTTGACTCTTGCATTTGTCATCTGTTGCCACAATGATGCTGCATAAAAATTAACCATAAAAACTTCAGTGGCATACATCAATAAATATTTAAGTTGGCTCACAAATCTATGGGTCAGCTGGACTGGGCTCTGAGATCTTAGGTGAATGTGGTCATAGAATGCAACCAGCTGGAAGGTCATGTGGGAGCTGGCTCTCCAGACCACCTTCGGCTGCACTCGGTCTCTCCTTTTGCAAGCTATCCAGCCCTGGTTTACTGCATCTGCAAGAGAGAGAAGGGTCTCCTTAAGATGTAGGCTCAGAAGTGGCATGGTATTACTTCCCCCTCATTCTGTTGGTCAGAACAAGTCATGAGGCCAGCCCACATTCAAGAAATAAAGATACAGACTCCACTCTAGCACAGTTCTCATTTGTGTTTTTTCCTTTGCTCCCTGGATACTGCCTGCCTCACCCTAGCTTTTTAAATCATTGAACTCTTCTAATGAAAAATTTTATCAGCTCCAAAACCTGGGGCAATTGTGGGTAAAGCCTGTGAATACAAACACACAATCCAAACATAGCATCTTCTATGAGGCCAAATAATTGCTTGCCAGTTAATATCACCAAAATTGTTCTAAAAACAGACTTCACTAGAGCCTCATTGGCCAACTAGAATAGTTAGGCCAAATTATAACTGCTCTCCTTTATGATACATGCATTTTTCATTCAACTAATACTTAGTTACATTTCCTATGTGCCAGGGCCTATCTTAGAGGTTAAGGACACGGTGGTGAGAAAGACAGTCTGGAGTCCTGTTCTAATAGATCTTACATGGTCCAGAGGAGAAATATAGAAGCAAGCAAGCAATTAATAAAGAAAATAATTTCAGCTAGTGATAGGAGGAGAATAAAGACTCTGATGTGCTAGAGAATGATTGGATTGGGGGAGCTACTTTAGATTTGATTTGTTCAGCAAGGAAGACCTGTTAGAACCAAGACTTGAATAGCAGGAAGGAGCCAGGGATGTGAGGATCTGGGAAGAGAGTGGTCCAGGCATGAGAGCAAAAGCCTGAGGCAAAGATGGATTTTCTGTGTCTAGGGATAAAAGAGGAATGAAGAGAAAGCCCTCCATCAAACATACCAGGATCCGGAGTGTGCAGTGTGCAACCTCTAGAGTCTCCAGCTGGAAGTAAATAAGAGTATACACCAAAGCACAGGTGCATCTAACCCCCAACCTTCCTCCTCCCCCATTCCAACCTCCCTCACATCCAAAAGGGAAGTTCATTTTGGGTAAGAAGGTAATTCATATTTACATTGTTGATAGAAATTCCCAAACAGTATACATAGTTTTTTAAAGTAATAGTTTTATTGAGGTATAATTCACAGACCATAAAATTCACTCCTTTAAATTATACAGTTCAGTGGCTTTTAGTATATTTACAGTTGCACAACTATTACCACTGTCTAATTTTCATCACCTCCAAAAAGAATCCCTGCATTCACTGAGAGTACAAGCTCAATATACAAAAATCAATTAGGCTTCTATACACTAGCAGTGAACAATTCAAATATGAAATTAAAAGTTTCATTTATAATAGCATTAAAATAATAAAATACTTAACAATATATTTAACAAATTGAATATGACTTATACATTGAAAACTAGAAAACATCTTTGAAAGAAATTAGAGAGGATCTAAATAAACGGTTCCATGTTCATGAGTTGCATGGAAGACAATATTGTGTTTTTTTTAAGATTTTATTTATTTATTTTTAGAGAGGGAAGGGAGGGAGAAAGAGAGAAACATCAATGTGCAGTTGCTGGGGGCGTGGCCCACAACCCAGGCATGTGCCCTGACTGGGAATCGAACCTGCTATGCTTTAGTTCGCAGCCCGAGCTCAATCCACTGAGCTACGCCAGCCAGGTCGACAATATTGTTAAGATGGTGTAGTAGACAAAACAGTAGATCCCAAAAGATGTCCATATCTCAATATCTGGAACCTGTGAATATGTTACATGAAAAAAGAGATTTTGCAGATGTGATAAAGTTATGGAGATTATCCTGGATTGTTTGTATGGGTTTAATGTAATCAAAGGGTCCTTATAAAAGGGAGGCAAGAGGGTTAAAAGCAGGAGGAGATGTGATGATGGAAGCAGAGGTTAGAGTGACGCACTCTGAAGACAGAGGACGGGGCCATGAGTCAAGGAATGCAGGCCACCTCTGGAAGCTGGAAAAGGCCAGGAAATGGATTCTCCCATGGAGCCTCCAGAAGGCACACAGCCTTATGATATCTTGATTTTAGCAACACAAGACTTATTTTGGAATCCTGACATGCAGAACTGTAAGATAATAAATTCATATTGTCTAAACCATTAAGTTTCTGATAATTTGTTACAGCAGCAATAAAACTCATGACAATACTCCCCAACTTCATCTAGAGATTCAACACAATCCCAATCAAAGGCCAAGTTGGTTTTCTTATAGAAATTGACAGATTGATCCTAAAACTCATATGGAAGTGCAAGGGACCCAGAAAAGGTTAAACGTTCATGAAGAAAAAATAACAAAGCTGAAGGTCTTACACTTCCTGATAGCAAAACTTAATACAAAGCCACAGCTTTTATACTCTAGTACTGACATAAGGGAAGATATGTAAATCAGCGGAATAGAATTGAGAGTTCAGAAATAAACTTTTGCATTTATGATAATCGATTTTGACAAGGATACCAAGACAATTAAATAGAGAAAGGATATTCTTTTTAACAAATGGTATTGAGACAACTGGGTATCTGCAAGAAAAAGAATGAAGTTGTACTGCTACCTCACACCATATTAAAAAATTAACTCATAACAGATCAAAGATTTAAATATAATAATTAAATCTGTAAAACTCTCAGAAAAGAGCATAGGTATAAATCTGAGTGACCTCAGATTAGGCAGTAGTTTCTTAGGTATGACACTAAAAGTACAAGTAACAAAAGAAAAATAGATAAATTGGACTTCATCAAAATTAAAACTTTTTGTTTTTAAAATCTTATCAAGGAAGTGAAAATACAACATGCAAAATTGGAGAAAATGTTTTTCAATGATATATTTGGTAAGAGTCTAATATCCACACTCTACAAAGAATTCTTACAACCCAGTGTTAAAAAGAAAACTGACTCCAGGTGAAAATGGGCAAGAGGTTTGAATAGGCATTTCTCCAAAGAAGATATGTGAATGGCCAATAAGTATACAAAGAGATGTTCAATATTATGAGCCATTTTGCATTTCCCTAAGTGCAAATGAAAACTACAGTAAGATTTTGCTTCATGTTCAATAGGATGGCTGTAATAAAAATATTTTTGATGAAAAATGACAAGAATTGGTAAGTTTGTGGAGAAATTGGAGCTTCTACATTGCTAGTAGGAATGCAAAATAGTTTTTGTTTTAAAGCTGCTTTGATGCTGCTATGAAAACAGTTTGGAAAAAAAAAAAGTTGAATGTAGAGTTATTTCATGCCCAGAATTTCTATTCCTAGGTATATGCCAAGAGAATTTAATACATATATTCACACAAAAACCTGCACACAAATGTTCACAGAAGCATTATTCATATAGCCAAAAGATGGAAACAACCAAAATGTTCATCAAGTATAAACAAATAACTGTGGTATGTTCTTGCAATGTAATATTATTTAGCCATAAAAATGACTGAAGTATTGATTCATGTACCACATAGATGAACCTTTAAAACATTATGCTAAGTGAAAAAAAAAACAGTCAACAAAGACCACATATAGTATAACTTCATTTATATGAAATGTCCAGAATAGGTTAAATTTACAGAGACAGAAAGTGGATTAGTAGTTGCCAGTGGCTGGGAGGAAGGTGAACAGCTAATAGGTTTGAGATCTCTTTCGGGGGTGATTAAAATGTTCTGGAATTAGGTAACAGTGATGGTTGCACAACTTTGTGAACATACTAAACTCATTGAATTTTGTATATTAAAGTGTATGTGAATTATCTGAAAATAAGTGAATCTGAACAAATTCATAAATTTATGTGTGTACGTATATGCATAGGGGTAAGACTGCTGGATCATATGGTAACTCTCTGTTTAACTTCTTGGGAATGGCCAAACTGTCTTCCTAAGTGGCTACAGCATTTTACAATCTTACTAGCAATGTATCAGAGTCCCAGTCTCTCCACATCCTAAGGCCTATTTTTAAAAGATTCTAACAGATAAATTTGCAATACAGTCTAGAGGGGACAAAGGTAAATGCTGAGATTTTCACTGCCTTAGGACCATGTATATGTCCTTTTTTTGCAGGTTTCAGAGAAAATCCATTGATGGAAACTTTGGTTCCACTGATGGTAAGAAAAACCCCCAGTTTGAAATCAAATTGGTGTCATGTATATGGTAACACTCCAACTTGCTGCTTCTTTTGTGTCTCTGCTTTTGTAATCTCCAAACCCTCCCTTAATTCCTAACCCACAGAGTAGTCAAATCTGCAATCTCTATACAGAAACGGAGCTCAGTGAGAACCAGTTTTTATGGTTGATAATTACTGAGACATGAAACTCACATGGGAAACCTTTGCTTGGGGTGTCCCTTGCAACTGCCCACAGTCCATTTGTCAGCCATTCATCTTTTTCAAAAGTTTAATCTGTTTTAGGATATAAATTGTTTCTCAGTTTCTTATCTGAAAGTTGATTTGTGAACAATATTAAAAATTCATTGTGTTAACTCTAATCTAGGGTTAACTTTCCCCAAATTGAGACAATTTTTGTTCAAGTGTTTAGGAAACTGAAATATTTGAGACCAGCAAATATCATAACGAGTATGATAACTTTGAGAAGTCCAGAATAGTTGATTATTCAACCATTGTAAAATCCCTTTCCTCCACTCTGAGAGTTTGAACAAAGGCATTTCATTGCCTAATCTTGTCATCAAAACTTTTTTTAAATGAAATGTTTATATTTTTTAAGTTGAGATATTTAAGATTGTATAAGTTTCATGTATACAACATAATAATTTGGTATTTGTATATTGTGCAAAACAATCACAAGTCTAGCTAGCTTTCATTACCATACATACAATATACATTTGTTCTTATGATGAGAACTTTTAAGGTCTACTCTCTTAGAAACTTTCAAATATACAATAGAGTATTATTAACTGTAGTCACCATGCTGTACATTAATTACATCCTCAAGACTTAACTTAGTTTAGAACTGGGAGTTTGTACCTTTTGTATATGTCCTCACTTTTGAAAAGCCTACATCAGCATAAGTTATATGGTGCTCATAAGCCATTTGGCAGAGAGTGATCATTTAGAAAAGGAATGATGAATTGAGGCTTGATTTTTAAGTCACAAGCAGCAGATGTTTAGTTTTATGTTTTCAACACTTAAATGAACCCATGGAATCTTAGAAAGACAGAAATTGAGCCCCAACCCCACCCAGCAAGAACTTTTCTCCTGCTGCCTTTCCTACCTTCCTTTGACTTTTGTCTTCCTTACTGTCAGTTTATCTGTTTTTCCAACCTCCCAGGGGATTTTTTTTAAAAATAGTATTCAATAGTCGATATAAAGACTGTAAAAGGCACCTGCTCTACTGTCATTAAAATGCTAAATACTCCTTTCCCTGTTATTCATAAAATGTTTAAATAAATTTGTCTTCTCTCTGAATCTCATCTTTTTTCCTCCAGTGCTCCCAGGGTTTGCTCTTAATTTAGGCTTAGTTGAACTTAGAAAGCCTGATTGGTTGAATCCCACTGGATGTTGTGTGAATAAATAGTCTGTTATTTTTATTGTATGAGTGAGGTCATTTTATTATTGTAATGATAATTAAAGGAACACCTTGTCCAGAAGACTCTCCTGAATATTGACACATAGGTGGACAGAGCTGAGACTTGAGCCAGATGACTGTCCAAGATCCAGAAGCCTCTGAAAATTAGCAAAGAGCTAGAGGCACTCCTCAGATGGCAAGAAGAAATGAACAAATGACCAAAAGAAAAGGAAAGGAAAGGATAAAGATGCATCAATTAGGTTCTATGAGGCTGCAAGTAACAAGAAAATATATCTCAAACATGCGTACACCACAGCGGAGCCCCTCTCCCTGGAAGTTGAGCAGAAGGCTGGGCTGCAGGGCTGACAGAGGCAGCTGGCTGGTCATTCCCCCACCATCCCCCTGGCTCTGCTTGGCTCACAGAGCTGGTGGTGACATGGATCAGATTTACACCCTCACCTGTCATTGTTCAGGGGGAAGGACTTTTTCAGAAGCACTTAGCAACTTACTCTCATTTTATTGGCCTAGAGTGACTTCCCTACTTATTGTTAAGCCAGTCACTGCAAAGGAATATGCTTACCTACAGATCCATCAAGCTTACTTACAGAATTAGTGTGAGGTCATCTTTTGCTAAGACCGGGGTTCCTCAAACTCAACATTAATTGACATTACAGGCCAGATAATTCTTAGCTCTCTGGGGCTGTCCTGTGTATTGCAGGATGTTTAACATCTAACTGCATCCTTCACCTCTACCTACTAGAATCCAGTAGTACACTTCCTCCCTGTGACAAAATGTCTCCAGACATTGCCAAATGTCATCTTGAGGGCAAAACAGGTTCTCTACCCACAGGTGAGAATCACTGGACTTAAATATGTGGGCTGCCAGGCACAGATGAGGATACCTGAACAAAATCCCAGCTTAGTTAGGGAGTAGGGAATAAGAATGTTCACCACAAAGGGAGAGAGAGAGACATTGATTTGTTGTTCCACTTATTTATGCATTCATTTGTTGATTCCTGCATGTACCCTGACAGGGCATCAAACCCACAACCTTGGCATATGGGGACTATGCTGTAACCAGCTGAGCTACCCAGCCAGGGAAAGACTTAGATGATTTAAAACAAGAGCAGAGAGGATGGAGACTTGACTTGCAGTGGTGAACACATAATACCATGTGTAGATGGTGTGTTACAGAATTGTGCACCTGAAACCTATATAATATTGTTAACCAATGTTAGCCCAATAAATTTAATAAATAAAAAGTGGGAGGAGGGTTATTGTGATGAACAATGACCACCACCAAAAAGAAAAAAATAACAGGGGCAGAGAAGACAATCACTACCCAAGATGAGTGTAACAGTGGGGCTACAGGAAGTTCAGTGAAGCTCAGAGATTAGAAAATGCCTTGGGGGCCGATGGCAGCTCTGTTTTGGTTGGGTAGTGACAGGAAGCTGCATCTGGAAAGAAAAAACCTGTTGACTCCTCTGTTTTTGTTTTTCTTTGATGTGTCTGCAGTTCTTTAAGTTGCATTTGAACAATGTCAACATTGGCTCCAGCTATTCTAAAAAGAGAAAAAACTTATTTTAAACTTCATGGGATGAAAAAGATGAGACACTAGAGCCAGGTGAAGTAGAAATAGTGTTGGTAAAAGCTTCTTCAGACCTCCAACAGACATTTTTCCTGTGGTATGAATGGATGGGCAGTGTGTTCTCCATTCATCACTTAGTACTTAAAACAGCATCCTCTGTGGTGATCTGAGGAGTATTAGGAAAGGCTCTGTGCTCTAAGAAGTTTCCTCCACTGGCTCCATCGGTGGAGAAACCCACATTTCACATCGTTGTAAAAGACTCTGTACAGAACTTCAGTTACCACCTGGGAAGAGAGATGAATGAAGCATACCTCACAAGCTGTGGGGCCATGTGAGCTGTCACTGTGTCCTGGGGTCCAGCATAAGAGAAGGCCACGTTTTCAACTGTGAGAGCTTGATAAACATGTCAAGTTTATACATTTAAGAACCAAATGGCCAAGCACATCCTTCCCTGGAGAGAGCCATTATAGAACCAGCTTCTCAGCAAACAGCAGTGTCTGGGAAGGGGTGGGGAATAAAACAAGCAGCACGTTGAGTTTGGAGGAGTCAAGGAGCACGAGCCATCACCAGGCTCTGGGGCATTGGGTCTCTAATGCTAGTCGTGACTCTCTACTCTTCTTTTCCCAAATGCCCTTGACTTTTCCTGCCCAGTTTTTTCTTTAAGAGAAATTTTATATCCCTCTGCAGAGATTAGTGGTTTTCTTCATTTTCTCCTCAACTTTTGAAGCAAAACATGAAATTAGTTAGGGTAGGTAGCCAGTTGGCAGAACAATGGAATTTCATGGCTGCTGGTTCACATTATTTCTGATTCCCTCTTCAGCTTCCAACCTCCTGAGTTCAGAGACAGAAAGAGGCAGGACGGTTATAAATATGAAGTCTCTGAAAGTTCTAAATATGCTCAAAATTATATGAAGTTTTTGCTCTCACACAGAACATTTAACATAGAAAGCAAGCAAGAAAGCATATCCTATTCTATTTAGTAAAGTAGACAGATGGCAAGGGGTTTGTGCTCAGAGAAAAACACACCAGAACAAGTTTCCTCAATTAGATAAGCTCATTCACAACTTTATAGGTGTGCTTATTTCCAGCCAGAACATCTTGGTCTGTCCTATGAAATAATATTTTTGTATTTAAGACTTCCAGCCAAGAAGGAGGTGTAGGTAGATACACTGTCTCCTCGCACAATCAAAAGAAGGACAACAAATTTAAAGTAAAAAAAAAAAAAACAGAATTGACAAAAAATCAAACTGTATGGAAGTCCAATAACCAGGGAGTTAAAGAAACCTTCATCCAGACCAGTAGGAGGTGTGCCAGACAGGCAGCTGGGGCAGAGAGGATGCATGGCAAGCCAGTGGCTGGAGAACCTGGGTGGGCGAGGTGGCAGCTGGTGGACAAGGCAAGGCAGCGGCTGGCAGAACAGAAGGTCCCACATTTGCATGCAGATAAACCAGGAGGAAAAACTGGGAAGCAAGACAGACTTCGCAACCCAGGGTTCCAGTGTGGGTAAATAAAGCCTCAAAACCTCTTACTGAAAAAACCTGTGGGGGTTGTAGAGATGGGAAAAACTCCCAGGCTCACAGGAGTGTTCACTGGAGAAACCCCCAGGGTCCTAGAGTCACAAAGTCACCCACCCAGAAATAGAGCACCCAAAGGGCTCAAATTGCTTGTGGGTAGCAGAGGAAGTGATTAAAAGCCAGAAGTGAAGAGCACTGAGCAGACAGCATTGTTCCCTCTCAGATCCCTCCCTCACAGACAGTGTTGCAATGAAGCCTAGTGGGTTGCTGACCCTGGTGAATACCTAAGTCTCTGCCCCTTACTATGTAACAGGCACAGTGAGACAAAAAAAAATATGACCCAAATGAAAAAAAAAAAAAAAAACAGATCAAAGCTACAGAAAAAATACAACTAAGTGATGAAGAAATAGCCAACCTATCAGATCCACAGTTCAAAACACTGGTAATCAGGATGCTCACAGATATGGTTGAGTATGGTCCCAAAATAGAGAAAAAAAATCAATGCTATGAAAAGTGAAATAAAGGAAAATGTACAGGGAACCAACAATGATGGGAAGGAAATTGGAACTCAAATCAATAGTTTGGAACAGAAGAAAGAAATAAACATTCAACCAGAAGAGAATGAAGAAGCAAGAATTCAAAAAAAAAAAAAAAAGGAGGAGGGGCTTAGGAACCTCCAGGACAACTTTAAATATTCCAACATCCAACATCATAGGGGTGCCTGAAGGGGAAGAGGAAGAGCAAGAAATTGAAAACTTACTTGAACAAATAATGAAGGAGAACTTCCCCAATCTGACAAAGGAAGTAGAATTCCAGGAAGTCCAGGAAGCTCAGAGAGTCCAAAAAAAGTTGGACCCAAGGAAGCACACACCAAGGCACATTATAATTACATTACCCAAGATTAAAGAGAAGGAGAGACTCTTAAAAGCAGCAAGAGAAAAGGAAAGAGTTACCTACAAAGGAGTTCTAATAAGACTGTCAGCTGATTTCTCAGAAACTACAGACAAGAAGGGTCTGGAAACGTATTCAAAGTCATGAAAGGCAAGGACCTACATCCAAGATCACTCTATCCAGCAAAGCTATCATTTAGAATGCAGATAAAGTGCTTCTCAGATAAGGTCAAGTTAAAGGAGTTCACCGTCATCAAGCCCTCATTATGTGAAATGTTAAAGGGACTTATCTAAGAGAAAGAAGAAAACCAGAACTATGAACAGTAAAATAACAAATTCACAACTATGAACAACTGAACCTAAAAAAAAAAAAACAACTAAGCAAACAGCTGGAACAGGAACAGAATCACAGAAATGGAGATCACATGGAGAGCTATCAGTGGGGAGGGGGAGGGGAGGAATGGGGGAAAAGGTACAGGGAATGAGAAGCATAATTGGTAGGTACAAAATAGACAGGGGCAGTTAAGAACAGTATAAGAAATGTAGAAGCCAAAGAACTTACATGTACCACCCATGCACATGAACTAAGGTGGAGGACTGATGGTGGGAAGGGGGTGCAGGGCGGAGAGGAATAAGGGGAGGAAAAATAGGACAACTATAATAGCGTAATCAATAAAATATATTTAAAATACTTTTGTATTTAATTCTTCTTTTGAAATACCATACAATTAAGTATAAATATGGCTTGCCTTCTGGGACCATTGATCATATTTGAAGTTTGTGAGAAAATCCTTAGGGTTTTGCATTCTAAGAAGCCTTAAATGTAAGAAAAATTATCCAATGTTGACCAATCTAATATTTAAATTGTGCCTATAAAAGTCCACAGAGTGAAATCATTTTGTGTGATGGCAGTTGTATTGTACATGAAAATCTTGATGCTCTTCATCATTACAGAACCACTGATGTTGTCTCAGAATGGACAGGGTCTATGACCACATCAAAAGCAGATCAGCCTCAATTATGAGCCAGAGCAGAGTGCAGAAGTCGGTGATACATCCAAGCCTGAGCTGGTTTTTTCCTCCTAATTAAGTTGTTACTTAACAAAACAGTGGGGTTTTTTTCCTCACTTGCTTTGATTTTAGTTTGTGTGTGTGTGTTTTTTCTCTTTTGATTACATACACACAAAAACCACTGGCTCCCACAAACATTTCTACCTCCTGCCACAACTGACCTCAAGCATTCACTTCTATTTACCTATCAAAGGGCTTCCCAGTAACAACAAAATGCCAAGCCCTCATTATGTGAAATGTTATCTGGGTTTTATTATCTTAATGTCATTCTTCAATTACTGTTTGCACATTTAATATTTCTTAAGTTAAATCATAAATAAGGGGCAAACATTAATGGTTAAAAATAGAGAGCTTAAGCTTGAATAGGAAAATATGTGAGACTGGGGGAAATAGAAGTATAAAACCGTATAGATAGCCCATAGAGATAAGACCAGTATGGTGATTTTTGTGAGACTTCCTATAATGAACTGGGCAGAAGACACAAGCATGGCCGAGTAGGGAATCATTGGCAAGCCCAGCAGCCAATCTAAAAAGCAAAGGCCGTGCTTAGATACTTCTTAAAAATATGAGTTTATGGAAGTGGAGATGTATATGAGCCTCCACTTCCTTGTCTTTTTTAAGAGGTGTTTTTGAGCACTCCACCAAAGTAACATGCTTACTGTGAGTCGTTCATATTTTGAAGAAAAATCCTGGTATTTTTTTCATTAAGGAGATAAATTGTAACTGAGAGCAATATGGTAAGCCAATATCCACCCAATATCTGAGTCACTCTGGGCAAATTACTGATCTCTCAGCACCTCCCTTTTGTTATCTTTAAAATGGTGATGATGGTAGTACCCACCTCAGAGAGGCTAAAAAATTAAAAATTTTGTAAAGAACTCAAAAGAGTGTCCAACACACTGGAAGTTTCCAGTAACCATTAGCCAGTAGTAGTGATAGCAGTATTAGCAGCAGCAACTGCAGCAGTAGTAACAGTGACTGAAGAATTGGCAGTAGCAACAGTAGTGGTAATAGTATTAGTACTTGTTTTTTAAAAATTTTGTTTAAATTTATTTTTTATCCTCACCCAAGAACATTTTTTAATTGCTTTTAGAGAGAAGGGAAGGGAGAGAGAGAGAAAGAGAGAAACAATGACGTGAGAGAGAAACATCAGTTGATTGCCTTCTTGCACACGCCCGGACTGGGGATCAAACCTGCAACCTGGTTAGGGGCCCTGATGAGGAGTCAAATCCATGGCCTTTTGGTCTATAGGACCGTGCTCCAAGCAACTCAGCCACACCAACCAGGACAGTGTTAGTATTTGTTATAGTAAATAGTAGCAGCAGCAGCAGAAATAGCAGTAGAGCACCATGCTGTAACTATGACCAAAACTATCCTAGGTAAAAAAAAAAAAAAAAAAGTCAAACTGTAGACATCATCTTTCCATAACACTGTTATTTTGCTCATAAGATCTAATCTCTCATACTTAAGAGTCTAAAAGTAACCTGTTTCTATGCCTTGAAGTTGGATAAAAAGTATAGATGGTGCTGATCCCTGTCACTGTGGGTAAGCTCAAGAACAGCCATAAAACATCTACTTTCTTTATAATGATAAGAAATATACCAAGGGATCTCCAAGCCTAGGAACAGTGCCAAGGAGTCTGCATTCTGCCTCGCCTGCCAAGAAGGCTGCATTAGCCCCAAGGTGTTGCTGTTCAGCTGAGCCATCGAAGTGACGAAGGAAATTGAGTCTCCAAGTCCATCAGATTTGTGTCTCATCACCTGACTAAATATTTTGAACTTGGGATTTAATTATTTTTCTTCATGAAGGAAATGAATGGGCAAACAAAAGAGAAACGTCAAGCCTGTAAAATTGGCTTGCAAAACTGTGAATGTTTTTACTACCCACCAGTGGAAATGAACAACTGGATGGAGAGAGTTGACTGTGATGAACAATGAATAGTTTGAGGTTTTTTGTTCTTTTACATGGGTTACACACCCATGCAGCATTAATGTAAACTATAATGAACTATGTTTTCAATGAAGAAATGGAAATATATTTACAATGAGGATATTAAAGAATATTTTCAGTTATGTGTCATCACTGAAAATGTATTTCCCTGCAATAATACAAGAGACAGGCAAGTGAACTCACAGATATTTTTGTTTGTATTGTGATACAAGCAATCTCATCTCTCAGAAAGAAAATATTGGTAAGAAATTCCCACCAGCCCCACAACACGCCAGATGCTTGGCCAAGCTCAGGAGGCACTGAAGGAGCATTGTCCTGTGTGCCACAGATGAGCGTGGCTGCTGGAAACACGGTGGCGCTGATATGTCAGGGCCAGAAACTGCCCGGATACCTGCTGAGATGTGATTTCTGCTCTCTTTGTTCAGCTCCACCTAACACTCACAAATGGACAAACTTAGTGGGACAGTGCCTTTCCTAATAATGAGTGAGAAAGGCGGGAGATCTTTTTCTCTGATGCTTGTGGTGGGGTGGCTCCTGATGACCCCCAGACTCTCAGAAGAAAGAGTTCACTCTCCTTGTTACAAGGAGAACCTCACTGGAAAAGTTTGAGGAGCATTCTTTTAGAGAATTCTTTTCTCTCACAGACAACCACCACTTGGCAATAGGTATACCTATTCTACCTCCTGAATATCTCTCAAAATATCCGATCTTCATGCATAGCCCTAATTCATGTTGTCATCATTTATTGCTTCAAGGAGTGCAGCAATTTCCTTTCTATCTAGGCTTTTTCTGCCTATAGTGAGGATATTGCTAGCTGCTATAACAAATAAACCTCCACATAACAGTGCCTTAATCACAGACATTTGTTCCTGATGATTTTGTTTAGTGGAGGTCTTCCTCACAGTGATTTCAGGACCCATGCTCCTTTGTTCTTGGGATTCTGCAATGGTCTCAGGCGAGAATCAACAACTTTTCTCTGAAGTGCCAACACAGTGAATATTTTAAGCTTTGCCAGCCATGTAGCCTCTGTCAAAACCGCTCAGCTCTGCCATTGTAGCCAAAGCAGCCGTAGGCATACCCAAATGAGTGTGACTATATTTCAATTAAATTTTACATATGAACACTGGAATTTGAATTTCTTAGAATTTTTACCTGTCATGAAATATTATTTTTTCTTTTGATCTCCCCTCCACTAATTTAAGGATCATTCTTAGTTCAAGGGCCATATAAAATCAGGTGGCAGGCATTTGGCCTGCAGGCCATAGTTTGGTGACTCCGGTATTAGAGTGAAAAGAATATCAAATTTAAAATATTGTGCCCTGATAGACCACTTAGAGTTGTGCCATGTTCTTTTGTTTTAGCAGCTGGACTAAAGTGTTTGCCTCTTTGCTTTTCCTTTTCACAGACTCTGGAACGATGGCGGTGTCCCATCCCATTGCTGCCAGCACCCCAGAAGGGAGCAATTATGGGGCAATAGGTATTTCCTACAAGTCTATTCATGGAAGTGTTTCCTAGTTCTCCAGAGAGTAGGATACACAAATCCTCCAGCCACTAATAACTATGAGAGTGGGCAAGGCAGTCATCACATAAGTTTGCATTGTCTTTATAAGATGAGTTGGTTGGATGATCTGGAAGGTTCCTTCCAATTTTAATGTTCTCCAGTTTTGTTTTTCTATTTCTTGGATCTGCTAGCCACACTTGAGCAGAATTCTCTTCAATGGTTGCCATCAACTCCCAAGGCCCCCATGGGGATTTTTTCATACACAGCCTGACTTCAGGACTGAAAGGTGTGTCACAGTCTGATGTCAGGAAACCCAACCTCGATTGACCAGTTGTTCTATTCTCAGGTTTCAGTGGATTCAGGGCAATCAGAAGACTAAGGCCGAGGTGCAGGTGAACACGGCTGAAGCCTGACAGTCTTTCCTTTCGGCTAACTTCATGGCTGAACCTGCTCACTGCCTCCAGTCACGCACATGTCCCCCTCAGTGTTCATTACGTACCTGAGAGGAACAGAACTCCTAGCTGTCTCCTTTGAGTAGGAGTGCTCTGCTGCTGCCATGCACTCCCATGGTGCTTGTGGCCCTGTGAATGGTGACACTCCCACCTTGAAATGTCAGTGTAGAGGGACTGGGCATCCTGTGTTCCTGCCCTGTTATTCTGTAACTTTAAGAAGCATGTGGGCTCAGTGCAGGAGACTTATTTCTGGCTCTGCGAGAACAGGGCTTATTTTTTTTGTTTTGTTTTTTGTTTAACTATCTGAACAGAAGAAATAAAGCAGAAGGTAGGCTCAGCTCCTGTGTTCATCAAGCTGCACAAATTCCCATCTGCTGTGGGAAACATTCATGGGAACACAAGGATTCTTCTTCCCGAGAACATTCATTATGTAACACTAGACGCAGCATGTGGGGGATTTCTGTGTATAAATACTTCATGCACAGGCCATGTATGGATGCTGGATATGAGTGTGCTTGTGCATACCTGTGGTAGATGCGATATGTAACTATGTGCATGTGTATGTTTATAATCGTTATGTTCATATTTTAAATATGAAACATGAAATTTAGCTTATTATCTTTGAGACCAATAGTTAACAGAATAGATGTCTTAATATCAAATGTCTTTATTATTCTTAATATGTATTCAGCCCTAGAAATAGACAATTTAAATATAAAAATAGGAGAGGAAGAAAATCAAAAGTTCATTGAGGAGGAATTGAGAGAAAGCTCCTGTGTTGTGGATAAAGAGTTAGTTTTTACTAACATTTTAAAGTGTGAGTCGGCACTGTGCTTTTGCAGAGAAGAATGGGCTCCCCGGGTTCTTCTTGGCTTAGCAAGGCAAATGAGCGTTCTCTGTTTCAGGCGGGTCAAGCTCCAGTCCCGGCAGGCAGATGTCCTCCCCTGAGCGGGGCCAGCCATACCAGTCAGACACGGACAGCTCTGTGGAGGAGAGTGACTTCGACACCATGCCGGACATTGAGAGTGACAAGAACGTCATCCGGACCAAGGTACCTCTGCCTGGCTGTGGTCTCTGAGAGGCCGGGAAGTTTGGCAGTTAAACACAACTTCAGCAATGCCTTAGTTTCCTTTATTTTTTTCTCTTCGGGAGAAGTCACATTTCCCAGAGGGCTTTTTGGGTAAAACATAACTATAGACTAAAAGCAGTACTCTAATTAGCTTTCCTTTCTGGAGGAAAAAAAATGAGAGCATTAAAACACCCTCGGCATCTGAAGTGACAGCTTGTGGACAATAAAGGAGGAAGGGATCCAACCAGATGGAAGAAAAGATTCATTGAGGGGTGGAGCTGGAAAAACGTTCTGGTTCTGTAATATCATCCTTCAGGAGTAAAGCTTTTTTTCTCTCTGGTGCACATGCATTATACTGTATCGTATCTGGTAAGGGAACTGAAGGTGAATGCACGGCTCTAGTCCTGCAGTTCCAGAACCACTGTGTGAACGTCTCCAAAAACTGGGAAATCAGTTCCTGAGATATGAGAAGCCTGTGGCCCCCAATCGTTTTCCCACATCAGCCAATCCTTAATATTCCAAGAGAAATACTGGGATTTTAATTAAGGTATCCTGAGACAAGCAAAATTAAGAGAAAAATCTTCTTAAATAATTTTAATCTCTAGTAAGGGATTAAACTGAAATTTGTAAAGCTCTCCTTTGTATCTTGTGCAAAAAAAGAAAAAGCAAGTACAGCTTTGCATTCTCTTTGTTTTTGGCTTCCCAGGTGTTCCTTTACCTGTCAGATTTGTCCAGGAAGGATCGGAGAATTGTCAGCAAAAAATATAAGATTTATTTCTGGTGAGTAGGTGACCAGGAGGGCCATAGTTACCTTCATTAAAATTTAAATTCTCATTGTATAAGGTAGTGTCACTTCTATCACAGGTTTCAGTGTTTGGTGGGGCACAGGTATAGGTGTGTCAAGGGTCCGTGCCACATTCCACAGGAAAAACAAAAAGAAACTACAAAAGGCAACTGGCCCTAACTTAAATAAATACAAAAGAAAAATGAGAAAAGTAGTGGACTCCCATGTGAGTAGGAAGCCCACTAAATCCTCTTCCAGAAAGCTAATGTAACAGCGACATTAACGTCACTACTGTTAGCATGAGACATGCTAAACTGCAGCCATCCGCTCTTCTCCTCACCAGGCCTTGCTCTCGGAAGAACCAGTGATTGCAGGACTAGATGCCTAGAGCATCTCTGAGTAGCTGGAAACCACCCTGGGAGATAATACTACCAGCGCTTGACAAATAGACTTGCGATGGTGGGACGCACACATGCAACCTCTCCCTTCAAGCCGAGAGGCTGAGCTGCCTGGCAGGGACCCTCCTTCTCCCCCCTCAGAACCCCCAGGCTGACACTGTGACAGATCTTCCCATTCTCTACTCTTCTCAATTCCAGCCCCTTTAATTGGATACAGATATTAGAGGGAAATGAGGGACAATGGGGGCCACGTGGAGTTCCGTAGTGGGACCTTCATTTTAGAACTGAGGAATCTAAGAGAGCCACACCCCTTCATGTGATCCATCCCCCATTACTCACATTCCGATCACTTTTACTCTAACAGCATCCTTAAGAGACAGGTTCTCATTAATGATTTGGTTAAGCCAGAAGCAACCATTATTCACACTGTTTTACAAATGACTGGAGAAATGAGAACCACATTATCAGTTTCTGACTGCCTCTGTGGGTTGACTAGGGAGTTATGGGGTGAGAGCATTCTTTTAAAAAAAAATTGAACAAAGATTCCATTGTCCATTTGGAAGTGACTATTTCTGGCTCTTCCTGCCCACACAGGAACATCATCACTATCGCTGTGTTCTATGCACTACCTGTGATCCAGCTGGTCATCACCTACCAGACGGTAAGTGCTGCCCTGAAGCCCACCTGAGCCTTCACACTGTGTGGAGAGATCTTTGCTGTGGCACACAGAGGAAGGCAGAACTTGGGACTGGTCCAAAAATTAATTTCCCATTTGGGTTCTAATTGGACTTCACTAACATTTTATCTTCGACTGACCTTTAAATCTAATTCCCAATTGTTTTATCACAAAGGGATCTGGGACCATTTGTTATTATTTTGTCTACCAGTCTTGCATTCACTCAATCATACTATCTATCAGTTGTGTTTATTATTTACCAGTCTGAGCTTTTGACCGTCATGGGATAATGAGTGAGGTAAATAAAGTTCCAGAATGAAACAAGGAAACCGAATGTCTCATGTAGCCTGTGCCCTCTCACTAAGGGGAAATGGGTTTTTTTTTTTTTTGTAAAAGTAAAAACAGCTTCATAAAATCAATAAAATGTTAAATTAAAAGAAAACAAAATAAAATAAACAAACAAAAATAATCGTTGAAACAGCTTGAGAATCCCTACCACTCCTTCATAGAACCCAAGAGCCCAGGCTGCTGAAGTGACCTCTGGTACCTACTCCACATGAGAAGCCCATTTAGAACAGCACCAGGCTGAAGGTGTTTCTAACGCAGTGGCTCTCAAACCTTGCTGTGGATTTAAATCATCCGGGGAACTTTTAAAAGTCCCAGAGTCCAAGCTGTGCCCGACAGCAATTAGATCAGAGTCTCTGAGAGTAGAACTAGGCATCAGTATTGATTAAACTCCCCGTGATTCCAATGTATAGCCAAGTTTGATAGCCAATGGTCCAATAATATTTAGCCAGTTTTATACTTACTACATGATGCAGACAAGGACTTTATGAGGTTTGAATACCACAGTTTGTAATCTAAATATTCTCTGAATACTTTGGGGCCCTGTCAGACATAGGTGTGCTGTGGGCTGGGAAGGCTCTTAATGATAGAGTGATGAGTATGGATAACCCACCACCATGTCCTCATGTCTACCTGCCTGTGGCAATCATTTCCCCAGAGGATGGGACAGCTTCCCCTCCTCCCAGCATTCACCTAGAAACTAGGACACATTGTGACTGTCCTCACAGGCACATCCAGTGAAACTGCTTTTATCATGAGAACAAAGGAAAGATACTCAGTTGAATTGTACCTTGAGGCCGTATAATGAGGAAGACAGAATATTTCAATTCAAAGCAAGATGGTAGCAGTTTTTTGTCCCTGAAGCCTGTATACTTTTGTTAACCAGTGTTACCCCCAATAAATTTAATAAAAAAGAAAAGTAAGTAAATAACTGAAGGAGGCATGCCTGTGCCGTGTAAAGGTGGCAGATAATGATCCAGCCCTGATGAGAAGGGGCACTGGTGACACTGAATCGCTGGCAGTGTATCATCACTGGGAGCGGTGCTTGCTCTCTGTGATTCCAGACTTGGCTCAGGGGATGGAGGAGAACCGCATCTCCTTGCTCTCGATTTTGCAGGTGGTAAATGTCACCGGAAACCAGGACATCTGCTACTACAACTTCCTCTGTGCTCACCCCTTGGGCGTCCTGAGGTAAGTATAGTCCATGGACTCCCCATGAGGCTTTTGGAAATGCCTTTCTGTGTAATGCTGTGATTTCGGTTTTTAAAAATACTAAAAACATCAATGGATAACTACCCCAGTCGTGAATAAAGAGGAATGAAATCAAGAAGTTGAAGCTAGGTATGCCTCTCTCATCCCTGGATTATTCCCAAGAATAATCAGCCGAGGTGAGGGCAGGGACATTTTTGAAAACATCAGGTCCCTAGTTGTGATGACATTCTTCCATGGGTCTGAGCTGCTACCACATGCAATCAGTTAAACAAGCTCATAAGTAAGGTGGCATTATTATCATCGCCCCCCTTTTTAGGTGAAGATGCAAAGACTCAGAAAGGTGAGGACTTGCTGAAGGTCCCTCAGCTGTTAGTGATGTGGGTACTTGAACCCACACTCGCTGACCTTGAGACCACACTGTAGCCACAAGAAGTGGAAAGAGCCTGTGCCTGGAAGTAGGGAACTTGGCTCCTTGTTCTAGAACTGAACTAGCCTCAGTTTCCTGAATTAAAGCCACAGGTTGTGACCAGTAATGCTTGTCCTGAAATCCACACCTGCAGAGCTGAGTGTTGACACATTAAAGGGGTCCATCTAGGTGAATTCCCTCTCACAGTGTAGCTGAAACACTCGGCCAAACTGCCCATTTTTGGATTCATTCTGTGCCCATGCCATTAGGACCAGAGAGGTTGGGAGGGTGTGAGGGAAGCCTGGTGGGCACCCTGAGAGGAACAAACACATCTAACAGGCTAAGCATCCTAAAGTGAAAGATTAAAGATGACCTCTGGTGATTTCCCAGTCCTGGAATCTTATGAAAAGGCTAGTGGTGGAAAACACGAAGGCTCAGTTCCCTCACTGATTTGTGCGTTCATTCTTTAAATCTCTTTGATTGCCTGAGTCTGTCATGGCCTCTCTTTCTTATTCCTTTAGTGCCTTCAACAACATTCTCAGTAACGTGGGACATGTGCTCCTGGGCTTCCTCTTCCTGCTAATAGTCTTGCGCCAGGACATTCTCCATCGAAGAGCCCTGGAAGCCAAGGACCTCTTCGCCATAGTGAGAAGAGGGTGGGGAAACTGGAAGTGGGAGCTAAGAAGGGTTATGGTTCCTATCTCGGTCTGTAAAGGGGAAGGACATCTGGCCTGATGGTGATGATGGGTGGCGATGCTTGAGGCCAGAGTCTTGGGTTTCCAGGGTCTGTGGCTACATCACTCACTGGTATCTTTCTGTTGACCAGGCTTTCTCCTTTTTCAGGAGTATGGGATTCCCAAACACTTTGGCCTCTTCTATGCTATGGGCATCGCGCTGATGATGGAAGGAGTGCTCAGTGCTTGTTACCACATCTGCCCTAATTACTCCAACTTCCAATTTGGTAATCAGAATGCACATTAATTACACAGACTTCAATTAGGGGAGTCTTATTCTGGGACCCTTCCAAAAATACCAAGGTCATACATGCACATGCAAGAATTAAATGACATTTTACATAAGCTAGAGTGATCGGGGGGCACCTCACCACAGGGAATGGTTTCCACATTTTGTACCTTTTTTTCTCTCTGACCACCTTTTAGACTAGAAAACCCTCAACACTGAGTGACGATCTTGTGGCTACATCTGTAGGTGGGCCATGGGCTACACACTGGACAGCAAGTTGGACAAAGCTCACCAACAAGTGTCTGGAAAGGTCCTCCTGTGTAACTTGGCCTACTTCAGCAGTTAGACTGCTTCATGATGCACATAATAGAAAATCCAACTCAAACTGAATTAAATAATGAGGACATTTATCAGCTCACCATCTGAAACTACAGAGGTGGACAGGACTAGTGGCCCTGGCTCCTCTTCTCACACGCTGCTTTGAGTCTCAGGCTACCACGGAACTCACAGTGGCAAATAGAGCTGCAGCAGGTCTGGCTTCCTGTCTCCGCTCCACAGTGTCTGGAGGACACAGCAAGCTGGGTTCCAGGAGCCTTCATTTCAAAGCAAGGAAACTTCTATTCTAACACCCCCTGCAAATAATGCCCCCTCACACCTCAATAGCGTAACCAGTCATGAGCTCATCCCAGACTCATTCTCTGTGCGCTGATTAGCTCAGGCCTGGGTGGCCACAGAGGCCGCATCACCTTCAGATGGGTGGGGCCCACCGCTGGTACCAGAGGTGGGGTTAGCCTTCCTGGAGCAAACTGGCTGGAAGGGTGTGCATTTATGAACTGAAAACAGGGCTAAGAAACCTGAGTTAGTACTGAGATGCTGTCAGGAAGGAGGGCGGAAGAGCTGGTGCTGGGAGTAGGCAGTTAACAATGCTCTTCACAGTCAAGAGTAAGGATTTTTAAAGCAGTCATATTTATGTTTGTGCTTTAGCCTCTGACTGGTAACTGAGACACCACAGAAATTCTGTCACATTTTAATTCTTTAATATTACAAAACACCTTTAATAGGGAAAACTATACAGAACAATATTACTCACCACCCTGAATGAACATAAGCCAATATTTGAAAATATTTGCCCTACATCTACTTTTTAATAAATAAAATATTGTGGAAAGTTGAAGTCTTCTTTTGAACTGCTTTCCAAATTTTTTCCCCTCTTTCCTTCCCCAGAGACAACAACTATGATTAATTTTGGGTTTATTCTTGCAGTTCATTTTTATAGTTTACTACATTTACAGTAAATTGATATTAATTTACCACAGTGTGTTCTGCAACCTTCTTTCCTCATCCAACAATATGACTTCAAGATTTATCAATATTGATCAAGGACAGCTAGTTCATTCATTTTTTATTGTATTTTTTCCCATTACCATTTATCCCCCTTAAAGCTCCCCCACAAATACCACACTGTGGTCCATGTCCATGAGTCCTTTTTCCTTTTTGCTCAGTCCTTCCATATCCTAACCTCCCCCTCCGCTTAGCTGCCATCTTGCTCTCTAACTGTGATCTCTACCTAGTCTGTCTTTATTTTGCTTTTTAGTTCAGTTTGTTCATTAGATTTCACATATGAGTGAAATCATATGGTATTTGTCTTTCTCTGACTGGCTTATTTCACTTAGCATAATGTTCTCTGGGTCCATCCACATGGACAAAGGGTAAAATTTTGTTGCAGAGGGTAATATTTTCTTCTTTCTTATGGCTGAGTAATATTCCATTGTGTAAATGTCTCATAGTTGTTTTATTCACATATCTACTGAGGGACACCTGGGCTGCTTCCATATCTTGGTGATTGTAAAAATACTGCAATGAACACAGGGGTGCTTATGTTCTTTCAAATTAATGCTTTGAGTTCCTTCAGATATATTGCCAGAAATGGGATCACTGGGCCAAAAGGCAGTTCCATTTTTAATTTTTTGAGGTATCCCCACTCTGCTTTCCACAGTGGCTGCACCAGTCTGCATTCTCACCAACAGTGCAAGAGGGTTTCCCTTCCTCCACATCCTTGCCAGCACTTGTTGTTTGCTGATTTATTGATGATAGCATTTCTGACAGGTGTGAGGTGATATCTCATTGTAGTTTTAATTTGCATTTCTCTGATGATTAGTGACATTGAGCATCTCTTCATGTCCATTGGCCATGTGTATGTCCCTTTAGAGAAGTGTCTATGCAGGTCCTTTGCCCATTTTTTAATTAAACTGTTTGGGGTTTTGGTTTGTTTCTTTGTTTTTTGGTGTTGAGTTTTATAAATTCTTTATAAATTTTGATTGTTAGACCCTTATCAGGTGTATCAGTGAGTATGTTCTCCCATTCCATGTGTTGTCTTTTTATCTGGTTGATGTTTTCCTTTGCTGTGCAAAAACCTTTTTAGTTTGATGTAGTCCCATTTGTTTATTTTTTCTTTTGTTTCCCTTGCCTGAGGAGGTATAGGTGATAAAAAATTTCTATGAGAAATGTCCGAGATTTTGCTGCCTATATTTTCTTCTAGGATTGTTATGGATTTGGTAACATTGAAATCTTTAATTCATTTTGAATTTATTCTTGTGTGTGGTGTAAGAAAATGGTCTAGTTTCATTTTTCTGCATGTATCTGTCCAATTTTCCCAACACCTTTTATTGAACAAACTGTCTTTAACCCATTGTATGTGCTTGCTTCCTCTGTCAAGTATTAATTGACTATGAAGATGTGAATTTACTTCTGGGCTCTCTATTCAGTCCCATTGATCTATGTGTCTGTTTTTATGCCAGCATCATACTGTTTTGATTACGATGGCCTTATGGTATATAGGTTCATATTAGGTAGCGTGATTCCTCTAACTTTGTTCTTCTTTCTCGGGATTACTGTTGCTATGTGGGGCCTCTTGTGTTTCCATATAAATTTTTGAAATATTTGTTCTAGTTCTGTGAAATACATCATTGGAATCTTGATAAGAATTGTTTTGAATCATAGATTGCTTTGGGTAGTACAGACATTTTAATAATGTTAATTATTCCTATCCATGAACACAGTATTTACTTCCACTTTTTATCTTCTTCAATTTATTTCTTCAGCACCTTATAACTCTCCAAGTATAGGTCTTTTACATCCTTGCTTAGGTTTATTCCTAGGTATTTTATTCTTTTTGAAGCAACTGTAAATGGGATTGTTTTTTAATTTCCCTTTCTGTTAGTTCATTATTGGCAAATAGAAATGCAACTGATTTCTGGATGTTAATTTTGTATCCTGCTACTTTGCTGAATTCATTTATCAGTTACTGTAGTTTGTTGGTGAAATCGTTGGGGTTCTCTATGTATAGTATCATGTCATCTGCAAATCAAGACAGTTTTACTTCTTTCTTTCTAATTTGGATGCCTTTTATTTTTTTTTCTCCTTGTCTGATTGCTGTGGCTAGGACTTTTTGTACTACATTGAATAAGAGCAGCGGGAGCAGACATCCCTGTCTTGTTTCTGATCTTAAGGGGAACACTGTAGTTTTTGCCCATTGAATATGATGCTGGCAGTGGGTTTGTGACCTTATTATATTTAGGTATGTTGCCTTTAATCCCACTTTGCTGAGAGTTTTTGTCTTAAATGGGTGCTGGATTTTATCAGTTCATTCATTTTTAAGAATTGTCATATTCTGTACAAAAATATACCACAGTTGTCAATTCCTCTATTGAACAACCTTCAGATGTTACCAATATTTTGCTGTCACAGACAGTACTGTAATGAACATCCTTATGTACAGTTCTGTGTACTTGTGAGAGAAGTTTCTGGAATACCTGGAAGTAGAATTTGGAGTCACCTGCAGTGGAAGGTATGCATCTTCAGTTTTACCAAAAACTGACAAGTTTCTCTCCAGAGCATTAATTCCCACCCTTGCTAGCTGTGTGAGATTTCCCATTTCCCCATGTCATCACTGGTATGTGTTATTGTCAGACATTTAAATTTGGTACTAGATTTTTGAGTAACATGGAATATTACATTGTTGTTTGAATTTGCATTTCCATAACTCTCCTGCAGCTAAACCACATTTAATTTCTAGCTGTTTTTCATCCCTAGGCTAGAAAGCTACCCAGGAGTAGCAGTCAATGTGGTTATATTTCAGGATGCTGAGAAGGACCTCCCACACTCATTTCATCGTCACTCTGCTTTAACTGTCACGAGTAGGGCTTCTCCTGTCATTGTTGTGGAACACCAGCATTGTATCCCTGCAAGTGGGAATAGTCACTTGTTTCTCCTGTCATCAGATAATTTTCTTCTGTAAACTAGGAACTGCTTTGAGGAGGTTCAGAAGTGGAGTGTGTGGGGTTTGCCTAGAGAATGAACCTGGGGGCAGGCATGGTAGAGGTCTCCACACAGTCTGAGGGCAACAAATACTCCAAGGCCTGAAGGGAGGTGGTTCTGCCAGGCCGCAGGCAAATCTGACTGTTGCCTGATGGTCTTGGCTCCTCCTGTGGGCCCGCAGACACGTCCTTCATGTACATGATCGCTGGCCTCTGCATGCTGAAGCTCTACCAGACCCGCCACCCGGACATCAACGCCAGCGCCTACGCCGCCTACGCCTCCTTCGCCTTCGTCATCACACTCACCGTCCTCGGAGTGGTGCGTCCCAGGTCACAGCCTCAGCCTCCCTTTCAAAAAGTACCCTCTTGAGAGGTTTTTTTGTTGTTTGTTTGTTTCTTGGGCTCAAGTTTCTGTTTCTTGGAAGAGAACTAAATTAATCATAATCTTTGGTTCATGACACTGTCATCATTGATCCATTCGTGGCATTTTATTTAGTTACTTAGCTAGTGAGTTTATATGATGTAATTGGCACCTGTAAAACTATCCCTGAAGAGTCTCAATGTAAAGCTGGGACTTGACTCATGTGAGACTGGAATGGGGATGTGCTAGAGTGGAGAGAGTGACTTAAAAAATTAGAAACCACCTTCTGACTATGCACGAACAATGTTAGTTGCCTGCAGCTATTTGAAGAGCAGCAGCCCCCAACTTTAAACCCACTGCCCCTTCAGCATTGTTGTTCAGCTGCCCCACCTGTTTCTTCCCTTTTTCATTTTTGGTCAGGTAGCCACTCTTTTCCTGTCCTGGGTGTGGTAAGGCCCCATGAGTTCAGAGAAGGGGTGAAAGGGGACCAAAGTGCATGCACGGCTCAGTTTTTGATTCCTTATGCAGATATGAGACAGAACCGACTTTACAAAGTTCTCTGGGAAGAACCCCAGATGAAGGTAACCTCTGGCTTTACTCCTAGGTGTTTGGAAAAAATGACGTGTGGTTCTGGCTTATCTTCTCTGTGATCCATATACTTGCCTCCCTGGCCCTCAGCACCCAGATCTACTACATGGGTCGTTTCAAGATAGGTGAGTTGCCTATTACTCTAGATTAAACTACGAGGACATTGTTTTCACTGATCCTAAATGGAAGGGTTACTGGTGATTGTGAATGCATGCTCTGACTTCTGTGTTGTGTTTAATAGCATACATTCTCTCGAAAAGCTTCCTCTCCTTTATTGGATTGCAATAAACTGTTATCACTAGTTCCAGTCACCTGAGAAGCTAAGCTTACCATACCCGAGAGCTGAGGCATACCTCCAGTTCCAAGTGCCAAACACTTCACAACCCACAAAACTTTGACAGCATATTTGCAGAACAGTATGATTACCATATCACTCCTTCTACCTACCTAGGGGATATTTTTCAATTTGTAGCATTCAAAAGGAACATTTCTTTAACCATGCTAAAAGGTTACCAAGAATGAATTATATATTGTTTTCAAATTGTGGATCTGGAACTTTTTGAGACCAACTCGTCAATCTAGAGCCAAGACGCCTCCTGAAAGCCCTCTGGCCTTGCGGACAGCAGAAGGACACTGCATGCTCCAGAAGTCAGCGTCTGGTCTGCCGTTGGTCAGTCATATACATGGGAGCAGGTTCAAGTAGTCTCAGGGCATTCACATTTCATCAGTCATTTTAAGGTCCATGAAGTCAGACTTACATATGCTTTTTCCATGTCAAGTAAAAATATTATATATAAACAAAGCCCTATGCCTAACATTTGCGCAGCCCAAGGCAAGATTGCAAATAAACACATACCATGTGTATAAAGACTTGAAAGTGATGAAGCAGACTTAAAATGATTAAATACATGGAAGGAAAACTGGAAGAAAGTTCAACAAATTGATAAATATAGTATACCTTTGTTATAACCTACAGTCCAGGTTCAAATTTAGAATTCTTAGATCTTCAGAGCATAGCTGTACAGGAGAGCTGGTCCCCAGCCCTGCTTCTTTTCTCTCCCTATTTCCACCTCTGTCCTGCATCTTACGGGGTCTCACAGGCATGCATATTGACACCCTTGTTCAACACCCAGGTGGCCACTCCTTGCCCCTACAAGTGCATACTCTAGTGGTGCCATCTGCCTGCAGGAAGGTAGATCAGGGAATGGGGCTGTGCAGACTCCAACAGCAGGCTCAAGGCCATCTGGCAGGAAATTCTGGGGCCCAGGAATTCAGAATGTGATCTAGAAGGAGAACGAGTAGTCCTATTGCCCTGCAGACTCTGCACTTGGGGGAATGAAGGGCTCTAAAATATAAACCCTCTCTTGCACAGGTCTCAGAGTGATTCTACATAAACAAGTGGCTTGTTTAAGAGTAGGAGACCAAGTAAAACATTTTCTTCTTTTGGCAGTTTAGGTTCCTTTTTGGCACAGTCCAGTGGGTTTGCCCTTGACAGTAACATAGCCAGTGCACCTCCAAATCCCCCAGTGGAAGGCAGCATCATTAGCTGGCTGTGTAGGATATTTGGTTTGGTGCGCTGGTCATTTCCCGTCCTCCAGACCCAGAAGCAAGTTCAGTCTAACAAAGCCAACTTTCAAAAGGACAGTAAGTTGAAGCACTGTTGTTCTGGGTTCTCCCAGAGTTGGAAAGATAAACTCAATGCAGATATGGTAGTCCCCCACCCCGTATCCTCAGAGGTTGTGTCCCAGTTGCCCTGATGGGAGCCTGAAACCACGGGTAGCACAGAACCCTGTATATACTCTGTTTTTCCTATGCATACATACCTATGATAAAGTTTAATTTATAAATTAGGCATGGTAAAAGATTAATACTAACAACTAATAATAAATAGAACAATTATAACAATTACTGTAATAAAAGTTATGTGAATGAGGTCACTTTCTCAAAATATCTTATTGTACTGTACTCACCTTTTCACTTCAAGAAAGCACTTTACAGCTTCTCTTCGGCATTTCCTCATTGCCAGCAGCAATACTCTTGTGCTTTGGAGCCGCTATTCAGTAAAATAAGGGTTACTTGAATACAAGCACCAACGTACCATGACGGTGCATCTGATAACCGGGGTGGGTCTGAGCAAGTTACCGGTAGGTGGGGTGCACAGTGTGGAGACGCTGGACAAAGGGATGAGGCACGTCCCGGGTAGATACATGGGACTCTCAAGATCTTACCATGCTACTCAGGAGAGTGCACAATTTAAAACTTATAAGCTGTTTGTTTCTAGGACTTTCAGCTTAATATGTTCAGACCCCAGCTGACCGCAGGTGACTGAAACTGCGGAAAGCAAAAGCATGAACAAGGGGGACCACTGTGTGTGCAGTGGTGACCACTAGTACATAGAGGAGCTTTGACTACATTCATACCTCCTTTACCACTTACAGTCTTGCAATGCTGACTTAGTTTACCTTTATTTAAAAATGAGAAATGGAATACATTACCACCACATAATATATCTGTCAGGATCCAAATAGAAAAAAGCTATCACACAAAGATCGACAAGAATTTATTCACAAAAGGACTATTCGTAAGGCAATGGCAAGGTTGGGAAGAATGAAAGGGATAGCACAGTAACCCTGGATGAGTAGCTGAGAAGTTTTACTCTCCATAAGGCCTGAAGGACGGGTGGGAAGCAGTTACCAAAACTCGGAAACAGAGCATCATGGGGAGGGAGCCACTCCGAAAGGAGCGGTGACCTTTGGCTGGCAGACAGGGGCAGGGCACGAGTCTCCTGCTGGCATCTCCCATTGTCCAAATCCATGGAGGGTGAGGAAATCCACTGATGTCCATACAGTGAGCCTCCCGGGCATGGTGCAGGACAGAGAGGTGTGTGGCAAGTAGGTCTGAAAGGGTAGATGGGAGACAGCCAGTGTCTAGCTTAACTGAATATTTTCAAGTTCCTTACCCAGGAGTCTTCCCCAAGTGGTTATGGACTTACCAGAGTCAAAAGGACAACTGTTTATTCCATTGTGACGAAGATCACATCTAGATTTAGTTGAAAGGCAGGAAGTTGAGTTAGTGGACAGAGTGGTTCAGGCTCCTCCCTGCCCATTTCAAAAGCTATCCTTACTTTCTCAGGTCACATGCTCCTCTCTCTGTGGCCCCCAGGTCACACGTGAAAGCACACGTGGACACAGGAAAGGCAGCAGCAGTGAGGCAGGGCACTTCAAAGTGGACGGAGAGCCGCAGAACTACTTGCCCGGGTCACTAGTGTGCTACCAGAGCCCAGAAAAGACCACGGGGAGTGCCCGTGAGAGAGGATGGACTGACTGGAAGTTGTAAGCCTGCACGGAAGGAGACGGAGAGACAGAACAGGCTGGCTCTGTCCTTGAGCAATAGTAAACATCTGAGTGTCTGGGGCAGGCAGAAAAATTCTGTTCTTTATGATGAGCAAACATTACTTCTATAATCAGAAAATAATGTTCAAGCCATCCCTTTAGAGAGAAAAATAAAATGATCAGTAGTTTACCTGTTGGCTACCTGCTTACAAATCTTTCTTTTTCTCATTTCTCCTCTGCTTTCCACTGATTCAGACGTGTCTGACACAGGTAATGTTCAGCGGCCCTTCTCAGGGTTCTCGATTGTTTTCTTAACGAAGCGGCCCCCCATTTGTCCTGCCGGCTCTGCTCCCTGAACACCTCCTTCCAGGCTGGGCAGGCTCAGTGGTGGGTGGGCCAGGGCAAGGCCCAGAGGCAAGGGCCACTCCGACCTAGACTGCGCCCCTCTTCTGCACGATTGCTGGGCGTGCCCCACTCTCCTTCTTCCCGCTGTGTATCTGACAGTGTAGCGAAGGCTGGTTAAATTGGCCCCAGGGGTAGCGTTCACAACAGAGCTGGGACCCTTTTGCACCGAATGCTTGCTTGCCCCCGCCGTGCATGCAGTGTCTGCAGGGTGGGCGGTTCAGAGAAAGCCCCACCTGTGATACTGGCTCTGTTCCTGCGGCAGTTCTAACACGAACACTCACTGTGCTTCATGCTATCCTTTGGAGGAACTGCACTTTTAAAAATCTTTGCTGTCTTTCTCCCCCCATCTTAATTAAATTCCTTCAATGATTGCTTCAAAACAGGTTTAGGTTTTCTGAACCTGCTCAGTAACCCCCGTATCCCTTGGTTCAATTCTTACTGACTCGTAACCACACTGAGTAATACAAATTAGAACTTTTACAAGCTAAGATTTCCCATCCTCTAGAGAGAGCACATGTTTTAAGGTGGGCTTGGGGGGCCCCATAACACCTCCGCTCTTGGGGAAGCACCGCCGGAGTAAACTGTAAACAAAGGGAAACGTAGCCGAAGGACACCGTGGAAGGCTTGGCCAGCTGCCCAGATTATCTGTGACTGCCGGCTACTCCTGCGCATCCTGCGTGCCTTTCTGCCGCGTGACCCACGGAGGTGGCACACTCTCCCTGAAAGCGGCTGATGTGGGCATCGCTTTTTAAAGCAAACGTTAATCATGCACCTCTTAGGTGTAAAGCACCGTTTTTATAGGTGAAGAGGACATCATCCTGACCCCAAAAGCTTGGGCCATTAGGGAGCATTTTGATTATTTCTGACTGAGCCTTCTTACCATGCAATCGTGTCATCGGCAGATTTGGGGATGTTCCGGCGGGCCGCCATGGTGCTCTACACGGACTGCATCCACCAGTGCAGCCGCCCTCTGTACATGGTACGTGTGCCCCTGGCTCTGGCCTGAGCCAGAGAGTGGGGAACGGCAGGAGGGGCAGGCCCGCACAGCCACTCGGGCTCCCCAAGTCCAGAGGGCCAGACAGCCCAGGGTGGCTGAGGTCCAGTCAAGGGGAAGAAAGAAGCATGTTGCTTACTCTTCTTGTTCATTAAAAACAAGCTGGGATGGTCCCATTTTTGAACATGAAAGATTGCTGTAGTGTAGAAAGAGATGCATGTGCGTGTGTGTGTGTGTGTGTGTGTACAAAACTATTGAACAGTGATCTTAGCTGTGGCGGTGTCCCAGTAAATAACCATCCAAAGAGGTGAGCCAGTTTCACTGTGTCACTGAAAGGGAGCACTATTAATAATTGCACCAGGACGGCAGGCATAAACCAGACTGTCCCAAGCAAACTGGGGCCTATAGCCACTCTGGTCACTTTCATTAGGAACCTATACTTTTTACATTATACACGTGTTTGATTTTTATACATTGTTTTTTTTACCGTGAGCAAGGGTATTTTTTAAAAACTGCGGTTATTGCTTAGTGGTTGAAATACAACTTTTAAAAATTCTCCATTACTGTTTCTGGTACATTACACACTTGTACACTGAGGGGACTCAGGGCCCTCGTCACAGCTGTGTCTCGGCTCACCGGCCCTCGACCTCGGGAAAGCCACGTGCCCCCCGGCGCCCTGCCCCGACCTGGGCCCAGAGTGGTGCTCAGAAACATTGGTGCTGCTTGGGCCTGGCACTCAGGAGCTCACTGAGTTCCGGCTAACGACGGTGTATAATTGAAGGATTTTTACAAAAAGTAATGTGGGAACCCCTTAGCTTACTAGAGCTTGGATAGGAGCTCTGGGTTCTAAAAGTGGAGGGAACGGAAGCTGAGGGTTTTTCAAGGCTTTCCTTCCTCCTCTTTCAGGACAGAATGGTGTTGCTCGTCGTCGGGAATCTGGTTAACTGGTCCTTGTAAGTAATTTTAGGAAAACATGTCTTTTTTTAAATTAATGACTGTGGCACTGTGGTTTAGCTTTCTTTTGCTGTCATATGAAGGGAAAACTCATTTCAACCAGACAGGAAGTATGATTCTTAATGGTGCATCCATTTATGGGAGCTTTCCAATCGTTAAAATTGAATGTTCTGAAGGAGGTATAATCAGTTAAAAGTTACTCATATGTTAAAGAAGGGTGTTTTTTTTTCTTTTTAAAATCCCCTCCTCGCAAAAATGAGAGTGGGAAAGCGAAAAAGTCAATAATATTACAAATCCACCCTCATGGCTGCAAAGTAATTCCTGCCCATGTGCATAGCGCCCTCTTTGGACTGATCTACCGACCCAGGGACTTCGCTTCCTACATGCTGGGCATCTTCATCTGTAACCTGTTGCTCTACCTGGCCTTTTACATCATCATGAAGGTAAGCGAGGTGTCTGGGGGCCTGCAGCGCCCCCGCCCGCCCGAGGCCGGCAGTGCAGACGGCAGCCTCCGCTTCTTGCCCGCAGCTCCGCAGCTCTGAGAAGGTCCTCCTCATCCCGCTCTTCTGCATCGTGGCCACTGCTGTGCTGTGGGCTGCTGCCCTGTACTTTTTCTTCCAGAATCTCAGCAGCTGGGAGGTAAGAGAACAGTTTCTTTTCCAACATAATATTCTCTCTCCATCCTGCCTTTTCAGCATCCTGCCTCCCTCTCTCCGTGTGCTTGTTGTTGCTAATGTTTTTGGTATCTCTAAAGCAAAAGCTTTCTCTAAAAGCTTTACCATCTCGATGGAGGGCACGTTGTCATCGTTATCAGGATAGCACTCCTAAGTGTATAAAGCCCACACTCTGCAAATTTGATCTTCCATGTGTGTTATGTTACAATCCTGTTCTCAGAGAATGTTTAACATATGCAGAAACCTTGATTAGTGTGTCTTCTCTACCTTTCTCATCATAATCGTCATCTAAAAACAAATGCCCTCGTGCAGGTGTTCATACATCCATCTCACAGACTGGAAAGCTGAGGCCTGGGAAATTAGTGATATTGCCCAGGCGCAGAGCAGGGAAGTCTCCACTCCATCTTCACAACCACCGCGATCAATTGTAGAACATTTTCATCACTCCAGAAAGTAACTCCTCAATTCTCCTGAACACCTTACCCCTGGGCAACCACTAACCTATCTTTTGTCTCTGTAGATCTGCCCATTCCGAACACTTCATATGAGTGAACTCATATACAATGAGGCTTTGGAATCTGACCTCCTTCACTTAGCATAGTGTTTCCTACATTCATCCGTGCTGTAGCTGTATCGGTACTGCATGTCTTTTTCTTGCTGTGCAGTATTCCGTTGTGTGGGTACACTGTGTTTTATCTGTTCACTCATCAGTTGATGGACAGTTGGGTTGTTTCCACTTTGGGGTTGTTATGAACGATGCTGCTGTGAACATTTATGTACAAGTGTGTGTGTGTGACTGTGTGTTTTCTTGAAAGCTAAGTTTCTGAGCCAGGCGTTTGCATTTGTGTAGCTGTGGCTGCTCAGCGCTCTGCACACCTGAGCTGTGGGAATGCACGCCCACCTCCTGCCTCACCTTCCCGCAGGGAACCCCGGCCGAATCCCGGGAGAAGAACCGGGAATGTATCCTGCTGGATTTCTTTGATGACCATGACATCTGGCACTTCCTGTCTGCCACTGCCCTATTTTTCTCCTTCTTGGTGAGTTTATAACACCTTTTTTTTTTTTGTTAATTTCTTCTCTCTTGAATCCTGTGCTCTTTTTTCTCTTCCCCTCTTCCTTACACCCTGTTTTATATTCCTCTCTTAATTTCCCTTTTCAATCCCTCAGTGTAATTCAGTGTACAGATTTTCTCTTTCTTTATGTTGTTTATCTTTTGGTTCAGTGTTTATTATTTTTCTTTACTCTTCAATATTTTAAGACACAGACTGACAAAATGGTTTTCCTTAAGCTGCACAAGGTTTGGGCTGAATTGATCATTGGAACTCACGTGCCCAGAATGCCCCAGGCATCACTGTGGGCATCCATTAAAATTTCGGTAACACTAGATTACTCCTTCCTATGCTAGACTCACATTTCTCCTCCTCCTCCAGCCTCACGGAATAGCTTACACATAACTTACAAATTCCTGGAGTAGCTTAGGATAGCATCCAGGCCTCCGTTATCTTCTAACCAGTTGGTTCCTAATCTTTCCTTTAGTCCTTCCATTTATTTTTACCCCAACATTTTCCCAGAAGCCAAACGTATTATAAGATCCTGGGGTGAAACCTCCTGGAATCCTTTCTTGTTAATTTTGATTTTCCCAATAGAAGTCCGTGGCACCTGTACAGGTTCAGTTGACAAATAACAGGAGCAGGTGGCCAGGGATCCCAACACTGTGGGGTTTAAGCGTCTCTGCCAGCCTTATCCCCTCAAAAGCGGAGCAGGGCTGCCCCCGGGTGGCCAGTTTTGGAGGTTTAATCTCTACAATCATTCTTTAAGGCTTTTATGTTTGAGTCGCTTTCATTAGAAAGAGAGAGACGACAAAAGTGGCGTGGAGGGTCCCAGTGGAGAGAGCGGCAGTGCTGGGGTGTAAACGTGGAAGAGGAGGGTACGCTTTCTGTGTGGCAACACTTTCTGCAATAAGACTTCATTTCCTTTAGGTCTTGACCTAAATGGTCCTTCTCATAATGATTTCCCCAGCCACCTTCTCAAAATTATTTTACCTCTTCCACCTTATACTTCCCATGTCCTCTCCATGATTTAATTTTTATCCTTAGTGCACATGACCATCTAACATAGTATACCTAGCACATATTTCTATCTGACACACTACACATACTTTACTCATGTATTTGCTTCCTATCTGAAGCCCTCGCTCGCATGCAAGCCCCAGGACGGTGGAATGTTTTGCCTCTTTTATTGCAAGCTATATTTCCAGCACCTGGAATAGCACATGATAGACCCGTGATAAATATTTGAATTAATTAATAAATGAACTGTGTATGATAATACATGCCTGTTGAGAGATTGCACAGCATTGTAGAAAGTTGCAGAAGACATGAAAATGAGCAAGGGCACTCGGAGGTTCTGTCTGTGTGAGTCTCCGAGAGAAAGCAGCTACTCACTGTGGCTGTGACCGTGTGTTCGTTTCATTTCTCTGCCCCTCACCTTTCAGGTTTTGTTAACCCTGGATGATGACCTAGATGTGGTTCGGAGGGACCAGATCCCTGTCTTCTGAGCCTCCAGCTTTAAGTGGGGGAAGAGGGAACCGTCGATCTTGGTGCTGTTTCACAAAAACACATCGGGCCTACAGCACAGGACCCACTGCCAAATGCTCCGCACAGCCCTCGTGGAGTCGGCTCTGCCCACACTCGCACGCACGGGGAGGGCCGGAGCAGAGGAGATTCAAATCTGCACGAAGAGGGGGAAGAAAGGAAGCTGTGGACAGGGGCAAGTTCTGAACAGTGGAGAAAGCCCCATCCCCTTATGCTGCAACTCTGAAACCACAGAAACACTGCATCCGTCAGTTTGCTGTCTTGGGACCCCCCACCTCACCTGGGACTCACCAGCAATGGCAGAATGATGCTGCACTTTTCCCTCCAGCCACCCCCAAGCCCACGAAAGCCAGCAGCCCGGATTCCCCGCCCAGAAACTTAGGTGGGCCCCTGTGCACCTTTGCGACATCTGCTGCTCTAGACATCTCAAAGAACCAGCTCGCTGCTCCAGGGTTATGGGATGTCGTGGTGCCTTGGAGTCTGGTAGCCGGTGGACCGGAGGCCCTACCCCACTGGGATAGATGTTTTATCAGCAGCAGCTCGTCACCTCCTCAGAAGGAATGCTGTTTGTTTCCCCCAGGTTCCTGACCTCTTTAGGGAGACTCTGGATTGAGCCTTGTCATACACTCTTCCTAACTCATCCCTGGGACCAGGGCTTGGGTGCTTACTTCTTCCTTAGTGTCTTCATCTCATTGCTGTGTGCTGACCCCATAACTCAGGCTCTGCCTTCTTGAGAAGAAGGGACCAGGCCCTGTTGCTCCACAGACCGGCTCTAAGATGGCAGGGAAAGTGAGAGAACTTTTCTACCAGCAGGAGGAGCAAGAGAAACGACCGACAGTGCTGAGAGAGAGGGGATGTCAGTCAGCATCAAGCAAACAGGCCCCACCCTAAGGACTTGGGCTCCTGGAACTAACGCAGCCACAGCCGAGGCAAAAGCACTTCCACCTGCCTCCAGTCCAACCAGCACAATTCTGTGCCCACAGCACCTTCGGGGAAGGAGTGAGTGTTTAGCCAGGGACGCTGCACTAGGGGTCCTCTCCTACTGACCGGGCCCCTTGGTGGCCACTTTATGCCTCCAGACGTTCTCCCTGGAGTTCTCAAGAAGTGACTCTCAGGATGAATGCATGTCACTGTAACTCCCTAGTTTCAGAGAGCACAGAGGATTTAGGATTGTCTTGCTTGCACCTAATGATTCTCATGGTCTCCCCAGCAAGGCCTTGAGAGCCCAGCAGCCCACTTCCCTCCTCACCATCTGCCAGCTCGGCCCCCGAGAGTCCCATTCTGACCAGGCTCCTTGTTGCCTGCGTACAATGGAACTGGGAAACGCGCTCGCCAGTGTGCACACACAGACGTGTTTGCCCGTGGAACTGAAGTCACCTCTCACCTCTGCTTTCCTGATCCTTCATCAGAGAAATGGGTCAGCCATTCTTTTTAAAGAAAAACTTGTTATCCTGTCTCTGAAAAATCTGCATAATGTTCAAAACACATTTTGGAAGTTGAACAGCAAAATTTGCCTCATTTAAAAAACACAAAGATGCTGTTAATGAAATATTTTATTATTTCATCAGATTGGTAATTGGTCTTCTGTTACTCTTTATTCCTTAAAAATTGTTGGCATCCCATCCTGGGGACAAAATCCTTGCCTCATGCGATCATAGTACAATCAGATAAGTTAATACTGGTGAAAGTGTTCTATAAAAGAAAAACTCCCGTGCAAATGTAAAAATATTGTTGGCTTCCGTAGGCCACAAGAAGGTGAGCTATCACGTGGTTGTGTTAGTCTAACGTCTAAAAGAAATTTCAAATCTGTTTAACGATGGTTGGTTTGAACCAATTCTTTTCTTTTAATGGGCTTATGGTTTCAAATCCCCTTAGAAAAGATCCACTAAGAAATGTAAACAAAGACTGTTCGAGAAGCCCTGTGGCCTGAAGTAAATAAACTCTAAGACTCGTTGCGCTTCGGAAGCGTGTTTGAGAGGCACATCCTTGGCCACAGGGATGGGCCTGTAAAACCCGGTGAATCGGGCTGCTGTATTCTGGACCATTTTCCCACGTCTGTGTTGCGTCGTAAACCCACACATTGTGGTCAGCTTTGTTCTCCACAGCAGGACTAGAAACCCAGCCCACTCTTATACACGTCAAGTCTAAAGGTGCTCGTTGCTCATTCTTCCTGCGGTGCCCACCTTGTGGCTGGAGGACTCAAGGAAGTGGCTGGACTGCACCTGCAGGGTGGATAGGAGTGCAGGGTCGAGGGGCGAGCAGAGATTCTCAGGGCTGCCTGGCCCCTTGTCCCTCCGTACTTAGTGCAATGCCTGTGCGACTTCTGCCTGAGCTCGTGGACTTCACTCTCTAAAAGAACAGGGAAGGCAACTCTGAAAGCCTGTTCAGCAGAAGGGGAACTGGAGAAAAACAGCCACTGAGAAGAGGCCGCTGGCAGAGCAGGCCCAGAGGTAACAAGAGTAGTTCAGCTGGAGCAGGACAGCGATGTGGCAGCCAGAGGGCAAGCGGTCACATAAAAAATACCCCCTTCACACCTCTGATGAATGCCGGAGAGGCCACTCCACCTGTTGATGCTGAATGGTTGAGGGCTTAGCCCGGCTTTATTTTAGCAGCAGTTGAGGCCAGTGGAAACCAGAGTCTATCTGAGGATGGGACTTTCCATGACTGAAGGAGGTCACCGAGCCAGCTCCCAGGACAAGGAAAGTGGCAGCTGCTTCCTTTGTAGCTCCAAACAGCCACCAGAATGCTCTGTGGGACCACAAAATGCATGTGTCAGTGAATTAAATAATACACAAATGTTTGTCATTCTGGGAGGTAGCCTCCCTGTATAAAACTTGGGGGAAAGAGAGAAGCAAAAATAAACACTTTTCATAAAAGGAATAGTAGAGTTGGAGAAGGATTCTCGAGTCAGACTTTAGTCCAAACACATTTGCCATGTGACCTTTGGCGAGTTGCTGGACCTCTAGGATTCTCACCTTCCCTGTCCACCTGATGCTAACACAGCACGAGGGTGACAAAGGCGGAGATGTGCAGACTCCACCGAAACCAGCTGTTCTGTTCCCTGTCCTCAGTTCCAGGAGGCCCTGGGGGGTGGGAAGCCACCTGACCTTCAGAGATTCTTCAGACTATCCAAGCTCCCAGCCCTGGCCTGGTCCTTGCCCTTTTTTCTGCATTTTACTGCCTCTAGCCCTTAAAACTCATATTCCATCTCAGATGATAAATTGCCACCACAGCTGGGGCCACATGGGAAGTCTAGCTGGGTATGATGTCACACTTCATTGTTGCCTTCTCTGCCCTGGGTGTTCTCCTCCCTCAGTAGCTATTACTACTGTGCTTCGGGGCTGCCATGGGCAGATGTCCCCCACCCTCTCCCTGCCCTGGCCACCAAATGTGCTGTGGGGAAAGCAGGGTGTTCAGCTTATGCGAAGAAGGGCTTCAGCCCACCGGTGACAAAACAGGTCCCCCAAAGAGGAAGCATGAGCGGTCACTCAGGTTTGGAAATGACTCTAGTGTCCTCTGGTGAAATTTAGGAAGAACATTATGAGTAAGATAATGAGTAAGAGAGAACATACCATTTGCCTTTGCCTGAAGCAATGTAAACCCTTACTTACCATTATTCTGCCCAGTTAAAAGTAGGGTGGTTTTTTGTTTTTAGTGGGTTTTTTTGCCTTTTTTTTATGCTGTTTGAAGAAGATAAACCAATGTGGCTAAGTTTTAGTATCTCCTCTATATGAAGGCGCCAGTGTCAGCAAGGTTAAGCGCCTGCTAAATCTTAGGTCTTAACACACCTGAATTCAAATAGGCTTGGGGAGAGGTGCAGATCAGCCAGCTCCACCACTGAGTTTCTGAAAGGCCACAGTAATCGAGTTTCCACTTGGATGGGGCTCCTCCACGAAAAGACCTCATTCTCTGAGCTCCAGGGAGGGGCTGGAATTCATCCTACGGCTTTCCTGAAGTGTGATCTTTCTATTCTCATTAAACTGCAAAGAAGACTAAGTGGTTTCCATCATTCACTTAGAATTATCCTTTACTTCCCCGAATCTGAGGAAAATGGAGCTCTGCCCTCTTCCTAACTGTCTCTAGATTAGACTGAATAATTTTTCCCTGAACTCTAAATTTAAAAAAAATTCCTTGGCTCTATTCTATATTTTTTCTTATTGCCTTGAATTCCCTGCCATCTAACACATCCACTTCACTGGGGATCAACACTAGCTGACCACTGTCTTTTAATACCGAACAGCCTTTAAGTGTTACCATATTTCAGTCAAGTTCTCAGCAAAGTCTGGGTGTGCCATCTTTTACCCCAGCACTATAGGTATGACTTAGAAAACAAGAGGTTTACACAGTGAATGATTTTTGCCTGAGGACAAGAGAAATCTGATATACTCTCTCATGATGGCTAGGTCCCGGGCCCAGCATTTCCTCTGACTCTTGACATTCTTCATGAATTTGGCCTCTAAGTCCTTTAGCTGGAAGATTATTTGAAATAATTCAAGAGCTCTTTATTTTAGGATGCTATAGCATTGCCATTAGAGAAAAAAGTTGATTTGCATTTTATGATTTTTATTACATTGCTTATCTGAGCTTTCCACAAGGCTCAGTGCCTGGTTCTAGGTGGGCACCTTCAAGGAAGAGGATAAATTCATGCTTGAGTTTTACTCTGCTGCTCTCTTAACGTGGGACACCTTGTAAAGCAACCTGCTTTTCAAGGAGTCTACTTCCCCTTTATCCTCTCCTTCCACACCGCACCACTGTTGACTTGTGTAGAATCAGAAATACAGCTTCAGTCAAAGGACAGTCAAGAAATACTTGGCAGGCCTGGTAAGGAGCTGGACAGACACCCAGGTTCTTCCATCATGGGGTCTATGGTCCAGAAGGGAAGATGTACATGAAACGAGTAATGGAAATTTGTTCATTGTAAGTGGGCAAAGAGCTCTAAGAAGAAAGTAAATGGCTCCATCTCCCTAATTCTTAGGAACTACAGCAACCCCCTGCTGGAGGACAAGCATGCTGGCAGAACTGACTGCTGTAACAGCCACCACCTGTCATCAGGCCTCTGCCAAGGGTTTTATATACATTACCGTATTCAGTCTCGAAACACCCCCTCTGTGATGTCGGTATCACTGTAATCCCCATGTCCCAGATGGAGAAACCGAAACTTAGAGAAAGTCACTGTCCTCTATGAAGCAAATATTGCAGAAACCTGGGTTAGTAGTCAGAAATCAGTAGTTTAAGAAGACTAAAGAAAAGATAGATTGTGACACCATAATGATTCAACATTTATCTGTGCATGCATCTGTATATATAAAACACACAGCCTAAAATTATAAAACTCTTGAACCTGTTGGCAAAACGAGAAGGTGGCTCAGTGGACTGAGTGCCAGCCTGTGAACTGAAAGGTCGCCAGTTCCGTTCCCTGTCAGGACTCATGCCTGTGCTGTGGGCCAGGGCCCCAGCCGGTTGAGGGCTTAGCCCTGTTTTATTTTAGCATCACTTGAGGTCTGTCTAAAGGTGGGGGCATGCGAGAGACAACCAATTAATGATTCTCTCACACATCAATATTTCTCTCCCTCCCTCTCTTTCTCCCTCCCTTCCCCTCTCTCTAAAAAAACAAAACATTTTTAAAAATAAAAGAAGGTTTTTCCAAAATTCAGAAGATATGTGTCTGTTATATAAATCTGAGTACAGTGAAACTTACTGTGCTTTTAAGAAAGCCAACCAATAAAACTACAGCTTTGGATCATTTTGGCTCTCTAAACAGGAACAGCTGGATTCCTATGAGAACTGCTGCTTCAGTTTCTAAGCTTGTAAAGTCAAGACCAAAGTCTTTTTTATAAATTCAATGATTGCACTTGGCAAAGGGCTATAAACCCAAAGATTCATTTTAAATTAAAATACATGTTGCATAAGGTGTCAGGTTTCCACTGGGAGGCTGTTGATTCCAAACCAAAATTAACAGTGGACAGAAAGCACAGGAATGCAGGGGTTTTTTATTTCCTAAAAAACATTTGGACACACACACACACACACATTGTCAAGAATCAAAAAGTCCTCTAATGCTGCCTCCAAAACTCATCCATGCAGGCCCAGTAGGATAGGCAGAATCTATGCCTCTGCCCAATGGCTGGAGTGTTTCAGCCCTCGCTCCTATAAGGGAGGGGTTTCATTTGCCAAACTGAGGCAGAAGAGCTAGCCTGCAGTGAACTGGGAAATCATAATTCTTCATCTGGGGTGCAATGATGATGGTGGTGTTTCTAAATTTGTCCAGAGGTAAGACAAAGCAATGTGACTTGATTTGAAACACTGACATACTAACCAATTTTCTTCTTCTACACTAAGCTGTTTCTAAGGCTTTCAAAAATAAAACATTTAATGTGAATTTTCACATTTGCCACTCAGCAACATTTTAAAAAATGGGATTTAACCTAATTGGATTCAGGAACTCCCAGAAAACTTCCCTGAGGCAGTCAGTTCTGCACCACTACAATTTAGCTTTAGCCTTTTTTCTAAGGCTCAGATCTGAATGTGATTAAACCATGTAAGAAAACACCACCAAGCAAGAACTGCACAGCATAGTTAAAAACTGGATTTTCGTATCTTCCCCCAAATCTATAGCTTACTTGCTTGTGTGAAAAATTAAGTGGCACATTGATACTAGTAATTTACCTGACTTCTGAACTTATGTAGGCAGCAAATTAGTATTTATCTCCTTAATCTCTCACAAGAAATAAAACAGGTCAGAGGAGCTGTTGATGCTGACCAGGAAACTATATTCCAGCAGAGCCCTGCATTTTAGCCTCACGTGTAGGGGGATGGAAATGAGGAAGGGCGTGGAAAAGAATTGCCCCTTGGCATTTAAATAATTCTTTGAAACCGTGAGAAAACACTTGAAATATAAAACCTCTTTGTCCTGCACAACAATCCTGTAAAGGAGAGAGGACAGATAATAATGTACCAACAAATAAACTAAGGTGCAAATAAGTTATGCTACTTGCCCTAAGTCACACAGCCCGCCGATGGCAAGCCAATACGAAATAGTGTCATGGCTGTTTCTTTTTCTTTAGAGTGACAGCACAGTACGTTTTAGATTTGTCCTACTTAAGAAATTTGTCAAAAGAAAACTAACATCAGTTCAGACTTCCACAGATAGTCTTAACTTTTTATTTGGGTATAAAATATATTCAGTAATATACAACACGTGCATTAAGTTGATAATGATTGGTGAATTTTTACATACATATGTGTATGTAACCACAACCCACATTAAGATACAAAACATTTCTAGTATCCTTCCTTGTGTCTGTTCAACTATTCTGACTTTCCTCCTCATAGATAAATTTTACCTGTTCTTGAACTTCATATAAATGGTATGTACTCCTTTTTGTCTGGCACTTTTCACTTGATATAATGTCTGTGAGGTTCACCTGTGTGTGTATCAGTAGCTTCATTTTATGAATATGACCTTTCATTCATCCATTCTCTTATTGATGGATGTTTGGGTTGTTTCCAGTTTGGGGCTACTGTGAAGAAAGCTTTTATGAACATTCTTATACATAGCCTTTGGTGAACTTATACAAACATTCTTTTTCAGGGTACATACTTAGTGCCCCTATAGAACTTCTCAGTCACAGGGTAGGTGTAGTGGGGGCGGGGGGTGGCTCCACCCTCAGGGCCTGCCCGGGCCGCCACAGATGAGAATAAGTCTACCAAGACATGATCTGCTTGGGGAGGGAAGGTGGCCAATCTCTCAAAGGAGAAGGGACAGGTGCCTGTTCCTCGATGGACTTTTATTGGGTTCATTTGCACAGGAATATAGATAAAGCTCATTAATTATTGTCAGGCAATAAGGATCAAACAATAGATAACAAAGAACTCTGAGGGCCTATTTTGAGTCAGGGTCAGATAGCTAAAGAGCTGTAAAACTTTGAGGAACAAACTTACTCCTTGCTTGGACCCTTATCATTTAGTTGAGAACATTCTAAACAAAGCAAGTTTCACAGGATTTTACATATTCTTTCTTAGGCCTGATCACCCAGGGAACCCGCCCTTTCCAGCACAGGGCTGTACCACCCTTGGTCATTGTTTCAGGCTTAGGTGGAGCAAGGGAAGTGAGGCAGGCAAGAGATTAGGAGACTTGCAGACAGAATGAAGACTCAGGCTATGTCAAAGCCGAGGGGCAAGGGTCCATCATCCCCTTTTGCTGTACCCCCCAAGGTCCTTCCTTGGGGGCCTCCCATGTGATCGTGCCTGTCTTAGCTTGTTCCCCCCTTGGGGAATCTTACCTATCATTGGCTAACTGACTAAGCATTGAGGGCCAGTTACGGATGAAGTAAACAGAGCAGAAGTGGTGCTCCTGCCAGGGAGATAAGCTTTTGTCTCCTTAGTGGCTTACGGTCCAAGGTCGCTCCCTCAGCTTTAGTCATGGGGCGGGGGGGGGTGGGGGGGTACAGCTTCTAAAACCAGGCAGGGCAGTTCCCAACAGGTAGGTAAGTCTTTAATTTTAAAGGAAACTGCCAACACTTTTCCAAAGTGGTTGTACCAATGTACACTCCCATTATCACTGATGAGAGTTCTAGTTATTCCACACCTTTTTCAATACTTGGAACTAATTTGTCAATTCCTCCAATTTTAGCCTTTCTGGGTCAGAGTGCAATGGTACTCACTCATTTTACTTTGCATTTCTCTGATGATTACTGATGTTCAGAGCCTTTTCATAGACTTCTTGGCCATATATGTAAAGAGTTTTTTCAAGTTCTGTGCCCATTTTTTAAAAATCATCTTATGAGTCTTCTTCTTTTTGATATATATAATCTTTGCCAGTCTGTGATTTGATGATGAGAAATTCTTAATTTTTATAAAGCTTAATATAACAATTTTTTCTTTTATGGTTATACTCAGATATTTCCTGTGGGGTTTTTTTCTAGAACACTATTTCTCAAATTGTTTGGTCTCAGGACCCATTTATAGTCCTAAAGATTATTGAGGCCCCAAAAGATTTTTGTTTATGTAAATTATATCTATCAATATTTACCATGTTAGAAATAAAAATGGAAAAATTTAAATATTTAATTCATTTATAGATAGCAATAAACTCATTATAGAATAAAAACTTTATGATAAAATTTTTATTTATATGCCATTTTCCAAAACAAAATTTTTTTGAGAACTGCAACAGTGCTTTACATTGTTGTAAATGTATTTAACATCTGGCTTAACAGAAGACAACTGGATTCTCAGCTCAATTCTGCCTTCACTCTGTTGCAGTATCTATTTTGCTTGGAAGTATATGAAGAAAATCTAGCCTTATAGAAATATATAGTTGGAAAAGGGAGTAGCCTTTCCAGATAATTGTAGCTATTCTTTCATACTCCTCCACTCCACAAAGGATTGTTCCCCTTTGTGGAATTTGACTTGCAATGTGGAATTTGAAAGTGTATCAGTAAACTTTTCATGTATTGTCCTGTTAAAATTCATTGGTCTATCTTACAGCTGATGGGTTTTAGTAACTCGTATAATAGGGTTGGTCTTTTTGTTCTAGTTGTTAGAGTGGGACTACTGACCTGCCAGTAGCTCCTACATCCCACCTAACAGTGAAAATCCCCCCCACAGCTTCTTAAAGAGATAGGTAATTAAAATCATTTTCCTTCAAACATCCAACTAAACTGGAAAGCCAACAAAACTTTATATAATTTGCACTTTCATCTAAGGGAGATCAAATTTATACATAATGGTTACATTTTTATGGGTTGTATACCCTTTAGGGCACATTAGGGCTCCCTGTGTAATCAAAATATATGACACATCCATGCCCTGTGTGAGAGGCAGTGTGCAATAACATGGTAGCCAGAATACTGAGTTTTAATCTGAGCTCCCAAGAAGCTGGAACAAGGAAAATATTCTATTAATTTCCTGTAGGATATACGGGAGTTAACGATCCCTACCTGTTTTAATTTGCAGATATATTTATACATTTGCAAGACAAAAACTTCACGTGTAAATGCAATAAACACCTGAGTATTTCATTTTCAAAGTACCGTCCTTAATACTACCGCCCTCTCTCTTAAAAAATATCCATTATCCTGAACTCCCATCACTTCATGAATTTATCATTTTTACATCTGCAGGTTACCCCTAAATAATATTGTTTAATTTATAGGCACTTAAGCTTTATATAGCTTTATCCTGCACAAGTTCCTCTGCCACGTGTTTTCTCCCTCAAACTTTATGCTGGTGAGAGGTGACCAAGTTCACGTGGTGGTAATGAAAGACCTAATTCTTGTCAAGTTCTGTGCTTCAGTTTCCTCCACTATAATATGCAAGGAAGGGTGTAAACTGAATCATCTCTCAATATTCTCCCATATCTGAAATTCTAATTTTATTATTTGCAGTAAGCGTAGAGGTGTATAGTTTGTTCTAAAAATAGAGTGCTGCTCATAATTATGATTTATTTGAAGTAGACTCTTTAATCAGCAACACAATCCCCAGGGGAAATGTGTCATGTTATTATTTCAGACACTTTGGCAAAATAAAGTTAAAGATTACTTGAATGTAAGACTTTAGTTTTAAAGAGAAGTCATTTTCATACCAGGCTTGAAGTGGCACATGCAATGGTCAGAAAAGATAGAATTCACAATACAAAAATGCAAAGTTTATTTTCTTAAATAAAATACTATATTCATATCTATACAAATAATTATTACAACCATTAAAATGTTACATTTACCAATAAAAATTTCAAAACTTTAAACAAGAGCATGGTTCAGAATATTCACACCCTAATACAATGCATTTGTAAAAAGATGTCAAAATAAACAGGACCTATTCTTATTTACAACAGTAGGACAATCCTGATCATATTATACATATCTGCTCTGGATTCCATTACAAAACAAGTTAACTCCCATTAGAATAATAAACCAGGTGATTTACAGTAATAGGACACAGTGCACAGCGGACATTGCTGGCATGGAAATAGATACAAATATTACACTACTGAAAGCATTACAGTTAGGTTTGTTTCTGGTGACTGCTCTACAGTAAGCTTCTCACCCAGTGTATCTATAATTTGTGAAGGTGATTATGTTCTCAGATTTTCCCACCTATTTTTTACCAGAATGAATACATTATGGCCTGCTGAAAGTGGAAGCAAATCTTTTCTTCACAGTAACACAATTGCAGCATTTTAAGCAACACTGTCTGGTCCCTTTCTTCTTGGAAGATCAACAGTTCAACTCCCCCTAAAAGTTACCAACATAATCAAGTCCAGTGCCTCAATGACCTCACAGATGAAAAATGGTTTTAAGACTTAGGGGATGGGGAACAGAGGTCCAGAAAAGTGAAGAGGGCATCTAGCTGGAGTAAACATTAAGTTCCTATGACATAGTATGATGGATAACCAAACACACACAGCTGACCCCCCAAAATAAATACATACTCAGGATCATTTTTTAAAAGGTTAAATTGCAAATAGAGTTATCTTCTGTGTCTCATGAAATCTCTGAGGTTTATGCAGTCATCAAAAATAACACCAATTTGGATATTATGCCAAATATTTTCAGTGCAAGTTGGCTCATGTTTATGTAGCATCTGAACACATGCACAAGACAGAAAAAGATTACACAAATCTATAAATAAGGATATTGTTGTTTGCACAAATCTAGAAATAAGGATGCTGGATGACCATCACATACAAGCGGAGTTTAAAAGGAGTTTTGCTTCTACCTAGTAAGTTTTTTTTCTTTTTTTACAAGTTTGGAATCGAAGATGGCTCAGAGAATGATAAGGCAACAGTGAGAAACATCAACTGTACTTGTCTTCCAGGTGTTTGATTACTTGACAGGTGCCATCCTGGCTGGTTCTTTGCTATAACAGAGGAGCAGGTGAGCAATATGTTCCAATGGCTGGTCTTAGGACCAGAGGCACAGTTTCAGTAAAGTGCAGTACCAGAGAAGAGGCATGTGAGCAGAACTAGAAAGAAACTCTGTCCAAGAAGGCCCTTAACCCTTTCTCCTGGGATATCTGGACTGCCTCAATCTAATCTTGATGTCCCCTACAGACTCAATAGAAAACACTCAGGCTCACACAGGAAGTATAAAATGCAGGGAAAATATGGTTAAGTCCAAAAAAGGACCCCTTTATGTCGAACTCTGGTGAAGGAGAAATAGTAGCCAAAAAGGTATCTCAAGAAACTATTTTCTGGCCTTTAATGTGCATATACGTATCATAAAATCATCACTCACAGAGTAACTTCACACTAGTTTCTCTGGCTATTACTACTGCCCTCTGGATGTACAAAGCCATAGGCAATTACCTCCAGGCAAAGGCAGAGTTTATGTAGACAACAGATTTACAACGACATCCAGGTTCCTAAGGATAGCAACCCAAAGCTGTCTTTTGGGATCAGCTTTGCCCTTTCTTCACTCCATGGAGGGCAGGGGGGTGCTTATTAAAACAAGAAACAGAACTATATGGCACATTAAATATTTTAAATCAATTTTAACTTACTTCTGTTTTGAGAAATTGGGTGACTTATTAGTTCCCAAAATCAGGAATTGGGTATCATTGATTTGGGAGTATGATTTCCTGTCACACACTGACCCAATAGATGGTATGCCCAATAAATGTTTCAAGGCAAAGGAGTAATCATCATGCTAAGGAAATGACCAGATTCCCTGCCACCTGTTTAACATAGATCAGATGGATGAAAATAAGAGCCTAGGTACCTATGTGTCAAAGGAAGGATATTGCTAAGAAGATAAGTTTATATAAGTCATTACCCTTTCTCAAATTTTTAAAACTTTACTCCCATTAAATGTGTTCCCACATTTTTGGGGGGACAGGTGTAGACATTTCTGCCTCTACAGGAAATGGCCAATGTTAGAAGGCAAGAGCATGGCAAGTGAATTATAGTTAAAATAATTTTAAGTAAGTTTGCTTATATAATTTTTTATTTTAAAAAGCTGATTTTAAAAGTTCATCCTCATTGAAGTTCACCCTGATATGTGACTGGAAATTGCTGCAAAAGAACATTTCCTCCTCATCTCTCTCTCTCCACAGTTCTGATATATTAAATTGTATAAAGCATGATCACTCTGAAATTCTCAGTCCTTACTTGGAAACAGGGACCATCTCTGACACTACCAGAAGGTCTCACAATAAAAACAAAAAATAAATGTCCTGAAGTGGTATAAAACATTCCAAAACAATGTTTGTACAAATAAAAAAAATACATGAAACTTGATTCATTTTATCTATGATTCACACACTAAAAGTTTATACATGATGAAAAATCTGAAAGTTTTCACCTCACTAGAAGTTACTGTGTTAAATGTTTAGAGGAATCAACCACTTTCTGTAACTGATTCCATATGATTAATAATACTAAGAGAAAATTGACTTAATCAGTGACTCTCATTTACAACTCATACATAAGCTTGTGTATTTCCAGAAATTAAAAAATTATTCGTAGAAATGGTTTTACATGCTATAGTCATATATTAGCAAGCCAAGGATAACATTAAATTTACTATAACCAGAACTGACTATGCTCTCTGCCAATCCTTTGCCAAAAATGACATCCAGATATCACTAGATATTAAGATAAATTCCACCCCCAAAATCAGGTAGCTCTAATATCATGAACTCAATACTGCTGGTAAACCTCATACACTTGTGCTTTTAAGTCAAATAAGATTACTATGCTCGGAACCCTTACAGACTTGAGTTCATATGTAAAATAACCTCGTGTGTGTGTGTGTATACATATATATGTATATATGTATATGTATGTATACACACACATTTCTGTAAGATAACTGGAGCTACATGTAAGCAGGGGCCAAATTACTTGCAGATGGTGACATCTTTCCTCAGGTGGTCAGATAAGCCTTTAGGGGTAAAGAATCATTCAGGATCAAAGCGTTACAGGCTTGGAATGAAAGCTCTGAGAACTGTACTGCTGAACAGAGCTGAAGAGAAAAATACAATCAGTGCAACAGAGAAGTATCTGAAAGTTCCAGGCTTTGAGGCCTTTTCATTGCGATGTTCAAACTAAGTTTCTCCTTAGCTTGTTATCTTAGTTCCAATTATATCTAAGAGTTCCCAGTTCTTCAGAACTCACTAGCCACCCACTGTGTGCGTGTGTGTGTGTGTGTGTGTGTGTGTGACTGTGAGAGACAGAACAGTCAAACACACTGAAAACTGTCCTTGGAATTAGCAGATTGGATCTTTCAAGTACAAAGAAAAACTTGAATGTTAAAGCTTAAAGCTCAGTTAATTTAAAAACAAGTAATAAATCTCACATTTTTTTCAATTTAAACTTTTAACTACTGTGTTTATCTGGTCTTCTGGAATAATTTATTCATGATGCTCTCCTATTCCTCGCCACCACCATTTTGAAGGGAGAAAATACAAAAGTTTTTCTCATTTACAATATTTTTGCCCCCAGAAAGCTGTTTCTGCCGGCAGCATGAGTAGATGGGAAAGTTTGGTTAAGAACAGTTGAAGAGGCACAGATGACCCTTTTGCTGAGTCTTTAGAAGAGGTATTCACTGGAGTTCACTGCTCTAACCAAGTCCTAGGAGGCTTTTTTAAGGAAGGGGGAAGGAAATGCTGGTCCTTGGGTTCACTTTGTTAACAGAGCAGGCAGAACAATTCATATGCATCTCTCCCACTCCATCCCAGTTTTGGCAGAATATAACAACAAAAAGTAGTGGGTTTGAGAATACGAACATGTATGGTTGTTGACTTATATACTGAATTTTGAAAACTTAAACTAAGTATATACATATATTTTTTTAGGTTTATTATTAACTTCAGCAGGGCTTTTTAAAACCCCTACATCAACTTTTTCTATACTTCAGCAGGTCTTGGGTCTCAATTTCCCATTTTCAGATGGCAGGCCTATTTTTAAACGACCAGTTTATACTTTAAAATCAATGTGTACACACACACATTCACACATACACACAGACATATATAAAGACAATTTTTGAAGCACCATTTCACATCTACCATCAGGAAAAATATTGAACAAATTCATCTTATTATAATTCTACTATGAAGGATAATAATGCAATATACAATGTCATATTTTAAACATAAATATCAGTAACTGAAAATTAAGACAGAGCTTAAGACCTTGCAAAATATTTTTAAAGTAAGGCTCAAATAATTATGTTTCCAAACACACTGTTTACTGACCAGTCCCTAGTGATTAAACAAATGTAAAAGAATTTACTTCAAGATCAATAAACAGAATGAATTAACACAAAACACAATTGATGAAACAATAATCTTTGACTGAATGCATGTAAAACTCCACAATGGAACTGCTCTTATCCTTATGGTCTGATACAAAATGCAAGCACAAAATGCAGGGTATCTATGTACTTTTTTGAGCTTTCTATTTTTAAGGCTAACTGTTTAAGGAAGACCTTTGCTTTAAAGGATCTTGGCACATTAAAGGATAACATAGGTCTCTAACTTGAGGAACAAGACATGAAACTCAGATAATTTACTGTTATAGTTAAGAAAGAAGCCTCTACCTAATCCAAATCTTGGGAATAATGGATGACCTTAAACAACTCATTTATTTGCTAACTGCTTGCCTATAACCATGGACATTCATTCTATAATAATTCAACACCTGCCATGGGTAAGAAACCATTCTAGATGCTGACATAACCAGCATTTGGTTATAAGCCATTGTGCTACACAGAATTATCTGTATTTTTGGAGAACAATTCAACTATTTCAACTATTTTACATACTCTCAACAATCAAGTTCAAAATCCAGGTTCCTTCCTACTACTCAACAAATGCCAAGATGTTCTCACCCAGCTTCCAGCTGATTAATATTTAGGGATTACAAATCAAACTTCAAAATGCAAATCTGCTTGGAAAATATAAAATGCACATGATGTGATTAAAAATGGAAGGTAATTTGACAACCTAGTATTTGCATCATCTCTGACACGGCTTCCCTACATTCAGAAGGTAACTAGAAACTGATTATATGAACACAAGGGCATACACACGCGCAATCTCCCTCTTCATGTGCATGTACATGCACACACAAATACAGTTGTGATCTCACCTGTTACATTTATGTTTAGTCTATCAGTATTTAAACAGCTGAACTGCAGTCATGACCTAAAATATGGCTTATGTTGTGGGCAGGTCTGTTTGTAGACTGCTTGGAAGAGTCAGAGGCGGAGGAGTTTGCGATTGTAAGCAAAGGTGACATTGCTGAGCCATCGGGAAGAGCTGTAGCTATTTCTGGAAACAAAGATGTCATATTGAAATTGGATAAGTGAGAGTTGGTCATGTGCATTGGTGGCATATCAGGGAGAAGAGGAAAACTTGGTTGAGCAAAACCAACAGGTCTTGGAGGAGATAAAATTGACCCAAATCGGTTATTTAAACTTCCACTGTTTACCTTCTCTGTGCTAGGATTTGAGAACATTTGATTTGAAAAATAGGGGATTGAAATGTCATTGGATAGTGTAGGGTGAGCAGGAGAGTACGGGGGATAAAAGGAAGGTAAAGTATTTTGGGGATCTACAGGAATGAGGGCTGGAGTTCGAGTGGCACTAGGCTGAGTAACCTGTGGAATGAAAGAAGTATTAGCATTTATTGGTGGATTCATGCCACCCTCAGGAATAAAAGGAAAACCAAAATTTTGTGATAGTGTATGCTGATCAGGCACTGAATTATCATTAGGTACTTGTGGGCTATCAGGCATGAAACGAACAATACTTCCTCTCTTTTCTGTAGTGGGTTGTTGGCGTCCAAGAATCATACTGCCACTAGCAGACAGAGGAAGATGGGGAAGACTTGGATCAAAGACATTACTATGCCTTTGGTTTCCAGAACGATTCCTTTCGGGCGGACGAATTTTGGAACCACTGCTATCTTGCAAGGGATGCCTGGATCGCTGAGGAACTGAAGAATTAGTTTGACGTACAGGAGGCCCTTGATCAGCATTTCCATGAGACACAGATGGGTGTGGCAAAGCTGGCCTTGCAACCCCATGCATGTTGGTAGTGACTGGAGGGTTCATGTGGCCCTTGGTCCCATGACTGTCAGTAATCCTCATGGGATTGGACTTCTGTACAGAAACATTGGGACTTGTGTTTCGGCCTTGAATATCTCCTGAGGAAGAAGAACTTGAAAAAGGAATATTCAAGGTGCTGTTCCTGGTGTTAATTGCACCTAAGGACATATCACAACTTTCCCTATTCTGATTTTCACTCTCTCTTCTAATATGGACACTTTCATGAGTTGGGGGACAATTATATTCAATAGCAGGGGATGGACCACACTGTGTATTCCTCTGATGTTCTGAGAGTGATCTCTGGCTTCCAATGACCTGATCACTAAGGTGGGGGGCAAGTAAACTCTGCATGAAACTTTGATGACATGTATTTTCACTGTCCCTTGCTGGGATAGCATTTCCTGTTGGGATGCTCTGAACTGGTGGATAAGGTAATCTCTTTTGGCGGTCAATTGGTGGTGGACCAGGGTTTTGACTAATTCGAAAAGCCTGAGACTGCATACTCCTCATTGACGATACAGAGTTACCTATTTCATTATTTCTTGAAGACTGCACTTCAAAGTTACTCTGGGGCTGTTGAATGGATCCAGTGGGTTTAAATGTCTGGCAGTCAGAAAGGCGGATCTCTGAGGCAACGTTATGGTCCACACGACCCTGCATATTATGAATGGCCAAACCCTTATTTCTGGGTACATCAAGATAACTTCTCATTTCAAGCTGATCTGAAACTCTAGAACCCTGAATCGATATACCCATTCTCTGCTCTGAATTAGAAGATGTCTTTCCAATGAGTGCCTCAGCAGAATAACTTGAAACTCTATTTCTCTCTGGTCTGTGTGGAGTACAGGTCATATCTGAAGGTCTAGTCACAATACTTGGTTGGGACACCATTTGCTGCTCTATGCCTCTTGATGTCAAGAGCCTCTGCATTGGATTATGTCCAGATACATGTTCAGAAGAAACCCCTGATCCTTGCTGTCTGCTTCCAACATCCTGCTGCTGGTGCAGAATATCTTGATTGAGATGGTTCTGGGGATGGTTATGGTGGTTCCGGCTAGTTGAAGGGTTTTCACAGCTCTTCTCTGGCTGGGAGCTTCCAAAGTGTTGCTGCATCTGTTGCTGTATCTGCTGATGGTGGGGATGTGGCTGACCACTCTTGGGTCGGGATTGGTCAGTCCCATGGTGCTTTGGCTGTAAGGAAAGCTGGGAGGCCTGAGTGCCCTGAACAAGATTCCTCTTTTTCTGCATCTGAACTTCCTGTTGCAGAGTTCTCTGCTGGTGGACATTATGGGGCTGAGAGTGGACAGAGCTCTCTGCATGGGGTATGTGATGCTGCAGTTGATATAAATGATGCCTCTCTCTTAACTGTCCTGCTTGCTGCTGCTGCTGCTGCTGCTGCTGCTGCTGCTGCTGCTGCTGCTGCTTTAAGTAGAGATGGTTACTGTGCAGGTGAGATACCCCTTGAGCTGGAACATGCTGTTGCAGGGCCTGCAAATGCTGACTGGCCTGGGTTTGTTGCTGCTCAGCAACTGAAGGCTGAGAACTGCACTGAACTTCAGTTTGCCTCAGTGCAGGGGCCACAAAGTTGTTAGTAGGTGGAAATAATCGTGTAAGGCCATCTGCATGTGCTGGGTTGCTAATAGGCACAACTGAATTTGAAGAGTTGGGAGGAATCTGATTAACCATAATTTGAGTTTGATCAGAAATGCTGTCTGGAGTTCGGCTCATCAGGGACATACCTTCAAGCCTGAGAGAGGCTGGCTGACAATGCTTTTGACGTTTAGCTGAAGACAGTAGAAGGTCATCTTGGACAGCACGTTTAGCAGAGTCCTTACGGCTTTCATGACTTGGCTTTAAGAGTGGCTCTTGAATCTGTGGATTTGGTATAGTACCAGTCATAGTACTTAGTTGTTCTTGGGAATATTCAACCAGAGATGGTCCAGGAGGCTGACTGCCATAGGAACTAGATGAAACAGTCAGATTAACTGTAGCAGGAACAGCTGTTTGCTCTGAAGTTTGGGTTAATCCAGCACAGCTGACGAGAGGATGGCTGATGCTGCTCTGATGGATAAGATTATTCACACTTAAACTGGTGACGTTTGGTGGCTGAGAAGTGGAAACCTGCAAAGAGGCATTTGATGTTTTAATTCCTACAGAGCAACTTGGTTTTTCAAGGGGCCTCTCCATAGTTGCTTCAATTGAATCCTGAGAATTAAATTCATTTGGTGTTGATTCTGCCTGACATGGGCCATTCTCTTTAGAGATATGTGTTTTGAAAGGCTGGTCTCCTTCTAAAGATGATGCTTCAGAAGGCTTTGAAGTAACTTCCCTTGTATCAGCCTGGGTGCCAGCTCTTCCCTTCTCAAGGTTTTCCTGGTCAAAAATAGCTCTTGCTGCAAGAGCAACTATATCAGTTTGCTCTACAAAGGTACAGCTGTCACACGTATTAGTTGTTACATTGCTGGTGACATCCTCTCTGGTTGTTTCAGGAAGCATGGATGCAACTGAGAAACTACGACTACTGCCAGAGCTGGTTGACATGGGAGAGTCAGCCTGCCTACTGCTGAGCAAAGAACCATGAATACCCTCGTGATCGGGGGTGCAGGAATGATGCTGTCCTGGATCTCTATCCTCGCTGTTCATCAGTAACAACTCCTGTTTGGGATGTAAATCAACACTTGAATCAACTATTTTAGAATTTTCGGAAGAAAAGTCAGGATGGTCCATCTGGACTGAAAGAGATGATTTCTGAGGGTCTTTTTCTTTAGCAAGGCCAGATAGTAATGCAGTTAAACCTTGCTCCTTTAAGAGACCTGGGGCTTGCATTCTATCTGATGAATCTTGCTCAATTCTGCAAGGTTCAGCAATGATTTCTACCTCAGAAACCGAGTCGGTACTTGTGGTGCTCGTGGCAGAAGACAAACCAGAAACCTGAGAAACCAAAATGTGGGGATCATTTGAAGGTGAAATCAACATGTTGGCTGAAGTACAGGGTTTGGCAACATCTGACAATGCCAAACTAGGTGGTGGCTTATCCTGAGATGTCTCTCGTTGCACTATGGGGGCAGAATCTTTGGATTTTGCTGGGGCCATTGCTAAATGTTCACTTGTTATAGATTCTTGGGAAGGTGAATTAGACTCTTCTGCTGACTTAGATTTGGGTACAGACTCAGGTATCACTGATTCTGAATTCAGAACATCCAAAGGATGTGAACCAGAAACACTGACAGTACTCTTTGCCTGGGACACAGCAACAGATGGCAACACAAGAGCGGGGCTTTCCAGCAGTCCAGCATTACATGGTGGCTCTGCTGAACCTTCAGTGCTGAGGCAGTCTGCCTTGCCCACATCTCTGACTGGATTTAGGGGGCATGCTGACTTGTTAGCTACTAAGTGTTTCTTGACACCTGGCTTCTTGTTCAACCTTTTTGATTTCACGTTAGGCAAACACACTACAGTGTTCACTGAAGGAGTAGTCACTAGATTATAAATACTGGGTAGTGTGGCTGAACTATCCGTTGTCACGGGAGAGGCTCCAGTTGCTGTTAATGAAACACAGTTAGCTGGGGTGGTTTGACTATTTGCAGCAGTTTGAGGGTTGGCAGGCTGGCTAATAGACAATTGTACACAGCTTTGCCCAGCCATCTGTGATATGCTTTGATTGAGGCTGGCCAAAGCGCCAAACGTATTCAGGGCAACGTTGGTATTTGGATCTTCGCTGGTGGTAGGCTGAATAATTTGCATAGGGTTTTGGTTTGTAGTGCCTGATGAAGACATCACAGGCTGCAAAGCAAAGAGCTGTCCATTTAAAGAAATGGTTTGAGGCTGTTGTTGGTTTGACATGGTAACAGAAAAAGTTTGTGTTGAATTAGATGTTGATAATGATGAAGGTCTTGGTAATATGTGGACAAGATGCTTTCCCCCAAAAGTCTGTGGAGTTGAAACATTTTGCACTGAATTAGATCCTATGATAGCACTGGTTCCATTGACAGGGAGCCGAACATTACCAGGAGGTGGAGCTGAGAGGAGTGGCAAATGATTCTGATTAGCTGCCTGTATAATTACTATCTGCTGACCTACGGTTTGGTTAGCAACCTCTGCCCTCATCACTGTTGGGCATGGAGTGGTGCTGGGAGGCTGAAGAATGATAACATTTTGATTAGCTGGAGCTGCATTAACAGCTGTCCCCACTGGCTGAGCCATATGAATCACTTGCATTGCTGAATTCAATGGAAGGATATTTTGGGGGGGCTGAGACTTAACTTGTGGCTGGGCAATTAGTGGCTGCATAGGTAAGGATGGACAAGAAGGCAAGGTTACAATTACTTGCTCAACTGGCTGCCCATCTGCTGGAAAGGAATTATTCAAGTTGATGCCAGTAGATCCGTGTCTACTGTGGTTTGTTGTGGTGGGGCTAGTACCAGACTCATTTAGTACTGAAGTCACAGCAGAAGATGGTGTCTGGCTTAAGGGCTGAATAGTGTTTCCTGCCAGTTGCAAAGTAGTCCATGTTGTCTGTGTATTTCCAGCTGATGAAATTCGAGTAAGGCTATTAATGTTTTTCATATCTGAAGCACTAACAGCTGAAGAAGGTAAAGAACAAGAGCGAGCCCAGCCATTATCCAAAGGGTTTGCAGAAAGAGTGCTTATGGGACTGGTGGTCTTCCCTCCTCCAGGGGCAGGTGGGGCCACCGTTGTGCTGACACTTGCTGAGTCTGTACCCTTGCTAATGCTCATTGGACAGGAATCACTTGAAGATCTAGGAGGCTGGGAACAGACTGTGGTGGTAACTGAAACAACAAAGGTAGTTTGAAAATCACTTCTGAGATCCGGTACGCTCGGGCAGGTCTTGCCTCCATGGTTCACTTTAGTGGCTGCTGCTGAAGAGCTGGAGGGGATGCTTGTGGCACAAGGGACCATTTTCTTCAATAATTTGGGGTTCTCTTGCCCATTCTTACTTTCAGAAGAATTTTGGTCATTTAGACTTGTGTGCGAGGGACGATGTTGTTGAGGTTCAGGTCCAACAGGAATAGCAATCAGGGAGCCAGTGGTGGCACCAAGAACATTTGATTCACTTTCAGAGGTGGAAAGCTCGAGAATATTTTGAGCAGGAATGGTAGCAGGAAGACAAAGAGGAACAGGCTGGTTGGCAGCCAATGCAGAAACTGCAGTCTGAGGCCATGGCTTGTTTTCAGAGGGGTAAACTCCAGAAATAGACACAGGAGTCACAAGATTGCAAGTCCTCTGTACTGGCACCACATTGGCGGTTTGCTTTTGTAAATTATGACCAACATTAAAGGTGATCCCCTGAACAGCTGTTCCCTGGCTGTTTCCACCAGGCTGACTCCCATTGGAATAAACAATAATATTTTTTTGAACCTGGTCACTGGGAATAACAACAGAGACCTTGGCGTTTTTAAGATTTCCTTTCCAGTGGATTGTGGGATCATCATATAAACATATGTCATTTGCTTTTAGTAATTCAATATATCGACCATTTTCCTTTTGAATTTCTTCCAGTTGTTTACGTAGCTTTTTAATTTCTTCAGCTACAATATTAAAAATAAAAACAAAACAGTTACCTGTAAATGTCAGTATTTATAATAACTTAAGAACTGTATACTAAAACTACAGAAATCTAATTCTAGCATTCTAAATACCTCATGCTGAGAATATCCAGCATGTCTTAATACAAGCTTTCTTCTTTTTAGAATGGTATCTCAAAACTCTGTCCCATATTTTAAAAGTATATATTCTTAAAGATCAGTAATTCAAAGGTCGAGAATCACTCATAATGTAGAAATGTTAAAACTCCCAATTCAAAAATTCCCAATATGGCAGCTACGAAGGTAAAGCAACAGAAGACATACTGACATCATGGTAACATGCTAGGAATGTAACACTGAACATTGATATAACACCATTTAAATGCTACAACAGCTAACCCTACTTATAGTGGTAATAGTCTCTTTTATAAATGGCTTTATACTAGTTTCTATTTTACCCTTTTAAACAACAAAGACCAAGCAGAACACGTAAGAAGTAAAGTGGTAGAGCATGGAGGAAAGCATCAACAACGAAACTTGTCTTTTCCTCGGCAGGGCCCATGTATGTACACTACTGAGTAATGAAGGTTTCTGTCATACCCCTATTCCTTCCTAAGAGAGACAGCCTCACCCATGGACTCTACTAACGGAGCAGCCTAGGCTGCTGCTATTTATGCTCTGTGACCCCACACATCCCCACCTGCCTTGCCATAGTGATAGGTACTCTCCCCACTCCCCTGTCAAAAACAGACAATCCTTAAGGACAACGCCCTATGAGGTAGCCTGAAATGCAAAGTTCTGTTCTGACAAGGATAAATTAAGACTAGCAGATTATTTTCCTCAGATATTTAGACTAAGAGACACAGGGGAAAAAGTGTCAATGTGCCATGGACATTAGAAATTAAAATAATCATTATGGACAGAATAATAATGGTTGTTGTTACTCACTGCACGCTTACTATATATGCCTGGCACTTTTCATTCATTGTTTCATTTAATAATAACAACAATCACAACAGATAATATTTATCGAACTTTTACTATGTGTCAGACTTTAAGTGCTTTACCAGAATTATCTCTTTTAATCTTCATAACCACCACAAGATGGGAACTATCTATTGTCATCACCATTTCAGATGTGAGAGACAAGCTCAGAGCAGTTATGGAATTTGTCTAAAGTCAACCAGATAGATACTATGATTATCCTCATTTTAAAATAAGGAAACAGACTTGGAAAGGTTAAGTAACTGGCCAGAGGTAGGTGAGTGATAAATGAAACCGACACACAAACCCAAGTGGGCCTGACTCCCAAGGCCACTGCTCGGACCACTCTCTAGACTGTCATGTGCTCTGGAAGCATGTGGAGAAACATGCTGGGAGATGGAAGAAAACAGAAGAGATACGCAAAGAAGAACCAAAGAAAGGACAGAAATGGCAACACGGTCACACCTAAGCTGTCTCATTTGCTGCTTGAACCCCTGGCTGTGCTGTTCAGCTCTTTCTGAGCCCTATGCAACTTGTATTTTTTCAATAGTTTCTCTTTTCTCTAAGGTAACTTAATTGTCTCAGCCACTGGGCTGTGAAACAAGAGGCTCTAATCAGAAAAGTCATTCTAGCCTTAACATCCCTTTTATGGGGTGCCTCAAACACAGACGATGTACCTAACAACCTGACAGCATTATAAGACAGGGTCTGGACTACAAAAGACAGCTGACCACATTGAGGGGTAAGTTGTTATCCAACTAAAAGTAAACAAGGCCCTGGCTGGTGTGACTCAGTAGATTGAGCGCCAGCCTGTGAACTAAGGGGTCGCCGGTTCAATTCCTGGTCAGGGCACTTGCCTAGGTTGCAGGACGGATCCCCAATTGGGGGCATTTGAGAGGCAACCACACGGTGATGTCCCTCTCTATTTCTCCCTTCTCCTCTCTCTAGAAATAAACAAAATCCTTAACAAATTTTTAAAATAAAAGTAAACAAGGAAATTCTGAACTTGACCTTCTGAATATACTTTCTAATATTCTTCCTGCTCCCCTTAAACACAACCCAGGACTGCCACCACCTGCACAAATCCTGCCTTTGTTTCTCACCTTTTAATGTGACCTTCTGAGTTGTTGCAGGAAATTCTCTCTGCTCTTGTCAGAGACATAAATAAATGACAATTCAAACTGGCCTACCAGTGTGACCTTTACACTTGCCTGTGATACTTTTCTTTTCAGCTGTTATAAGAAAACCCATTCTCCAGTTCAAGTGGAAAAAGAGACTCATTTGATAACACAAAAAGACTCACCTTTATCTAAAAATCAAATATCATTAAATGATCAGTTTAATGCATACATTATATATGATATAAACAACTATAAACTAAGTGTGTGGCCTTTTGAATAAATTCACAATTAAGTTTTGGCACAGGCATATCTTTATCTTGTTTTTAAGTTACAATGAGCAGGAATCCCCCAATACATTCTCTTATGGACTTCCCCTAGCTGGAAGACCCAACTAGAATGTAGGAGATCCAGCATTATTTGTAAGTTAAGTAAACAAAAAACACAGAGTAGTCCAAAGTCAAAATTACATATGCCTGCAATATTAGAACTCCTCACAGAATGGGGAAAGAAGGTAAACTAAGATGAATTTATTTGCAACACTATCCTCCCAGACTGCCTGAATGCATGGCTTACTAAGGTTTTTGCTCAAAAAAGCCTTCTGTATACTAATATAAGTTGGTTGTGACACAAAGGACTGAACATTAAAAAAACAACAACAAAAAACCACAAACAACAAACAGGAAAAAAAATACTTACCTTGTTCATTGTTTCCTCCATTAAGCAGGAGTTCATCATTTTGCCTTTTCAATTCTGTTATATATTTAAAGGCTTGGTCCAGGATCATATTCTTGCTCTGCCAAAGAAAATTAACTGTTTAAATGTTTCACTGAAAGGTAAGATCTTGCAGGAAGAAACTTAAAAGCTTTGGTTTTATCAGAGATATGTGATAGTATCTTTTAAAATTTCAAAAATGCAACTCATTCAAAAACTTTGTTCATCTTTCATTTACTAAGTATTTATTGGGCATCTGCTATGTGTCATAAGCACTAGGGAATATAATACAACAGAAAAAGTGCCTGACCTTGAGAAATTTTATACATATATATAAATAACCAGGTGGTAAGTGCTATGAAGAAAAATGAGGAAGAACAGGGTAAGGAGGGGCCAGAGAGATGGCAGAAGTTACTCTGTGCTTTGGACCGAATGTTTGTGTCCCCCTATGATTCCTGTTGAAACTCTAATCCCTGCTGTGATGGCATTTGGATGCTGGGCCTTTGGGAGATAACTAGACCATGAGGGTAGACCCCTCATAAATGAGATGATCTTAGTAGAAAAGACAAGAGAGAGGTGATTGCTCTCTCTCTTTTTGTCACGTGAGGACATAACCAGGAAGAAACTGACCAGCACCTTGATCTTGGACTTAACAGCCTCCAGAACTATAAGAAATAAATTTTGGTTGTTTAGGCCACCTAGTCTATGTTATTTTTCTAATGGAATCCCAAAATGACCAAGACTCTCTGTTATAATCTATTTTATGTAGGGGGGTTGAGAAAGGCCTTTCTCTAAGGCAACACTGAAGCACAAACCTGAAGGGTTTGTTATATGCCTTGTAGGTATCTGAAGGAACAGGGTACAGGTAGCAGGATCAAGCAAAGCCCTCAACCAGTGCTGTTTGGCATTTTGGAGGAAGAGTAAGGAGAAGAGTAATAAAAGGAGAGGTCAATAAGAGCCTTCAAGACCATTTAAGATTTTAGATGTTAATGTTATTCCTTACTCTGTCAACCAGAACTAAAAACCATTCCAATCACAGGTTCAGAAAACAATGTCATCTGATTGAGTTTCGCTGTCATGCTGCCAGTACATTCCATTCCTAAGCTTTTTTAAAAGATTGCATTTTATGTCAAAGTGTTGCTTTATTCTTTAATTAACAATTTTAAAAATGAAAAACATAATATGTGCATATAGCAAAAAATGTAAATAATCTCAAGGGATATATAATGAAAACTAAACTTCCAACCCTTTCCAGAGGCAACCACTGTAAAGTTACTTGTGTACCCTTTCAGAATATTCTATAATGATGTGTATGTGTGTATTAAATTTTTAAACTCAGACAGAAGGATACTATAAACAATAAGTTACATTTTTTAATTTAAAAATATATCTTGGAATTTCTTCTATTTAGAATTTAGATATCAATATCTGTTATACCTTTAAAAGCTGTATTCATTTTATTACCAGTCTATTACTGATAAATACTTAAACTGTATAAGAGGCAGTTCAGTTTTTTTATTCTTCAGCTATTAAAAATGATGAACTGCCAACTACAATTGAAAAGTAGAATAAACCATTACTTAGAACCATCAGAAATCAAGTTGAGTGGATGTCTGACAACTACAGAATTAAAGAAACCACATCCATCCAGACTGGTAGGAGGGCACAGACACAGAACAGGCTGGTCCCACATTGACATGTGGTGCCTAAAAGTTCAGGAGGGATATCTTGGAAGCAAGGAGTCCCATCCTCACAACAGGCCCCCCAGCCCAAGGTTTCAGTGACAGGAAGATAAGCCTCCATAACTTCTGGATGCAAAAACCAGTGGAAACTGAGTTGGTGGAATAAACTTCTGGAGTCCCAAGCAGTTCCTCTTAAAGAACCCACAGAGGGATTCACCTACTCAGACTCACTCCCTCTGAGCTCCAGCACCAGGGTAGCAGCATGAAAGGCACCAGTGGCATATGGGGAGAAACTGAAGTGTGTGGCATCAAGGTGAAAGCTAGGGGACAACTTTCTTCCAGACAGAAAGGCAGACAGAGGCCACTGTCCCTTTTTTGACCCTCCCCTCACAGAGCCACAGAGCTAGCAGATGGGTGCCAGATCTGAGACTCCATCAACCTGGCTAATACTCTTTGCCCCACCCTGGAGATCCCCTGAAGCTCTGTCCCACCCAACTTACAGCTATTGACAGTGGCTTTTCCATATGAATGGCTGGCCTTGGCTCATGCTTCACAACATCTTAAAATCTTTCAAACTAGCAACAACCAGCCTCAATGAGTCCCTAGCCCCCGAACCTCTTGCTAAGGGGCCCCAGGCCCAGCACTAGCAGTAGCCAACCTAGATTTACTGCTTGGCTTCACCAGAAAATCTACAAGCCCAGCACCAGTAGCAGCCATCTCAAATTGCTTTGTAGCTCAGGCAGGATGGCCCCAGGCAAAACACAGATGGGGGCTGACCTTGGCCTGCACCACCCAGAAAACCACAGGGCCTACACACCCAGTGGGTAGTACAGACATCATCAGAACACCATCACCCTGATCCTGCACAGCTGATCCCCCATGGTGGGCAGAAATTGGTGGTAAGTGGTCACAGCCAATCCTTGCAGCTAACTGGCCTGGGTAAATCCCTCCCATTGATCTGCCAACAGAAACCAAAGCTCAATTACAAGAGGAGGGTATACTCAGCTCACACAAGGGCATACCTCGAGTACCCAGCTTAGGTGATAGGGGAGGCTGTGCCACTTGACCCTACAGGACACCTACTACATCAGGCCACACTTCCAAGACAGGGAGTCTTACCTAATACATAAAAACAAACACACAGAGGCTGCCAAATGAGGAGACAAAGAAACATGGCCCAAATGAAAGAACAGATCAAAACTCCAGAAAAAGAACTAAACAAAATGGAGATAAGCAATCTATCAGATGCAGATTTAAAACACTAGTTTTAAGGATGCTCAAGGAACTTAGTGAGGACCTCAGCAGCATAAAAAAGATCCAGTCAGAAATGAAGGATATACTAATTTAAATAACAAACAATTTACAGGGTAACAACAGTCAAGTGGATGAAACTGAGAATCAAATCAATGATGTGGAATACAAAGAAGTGAAAAACAACCAATCGGAACAAGAAGAAGAAAAAGCCCCCCCCCCCAAAAAAAAATCCCTAAGGATAGTGTAAACAGTCTCTGGTACCGCTTCAAGCATTCCAACACTGGCATCATAGGGGTACAAGAAGGAGAAGAGAAAGAGCAAGAAATTGGAGATCTATTTGAAACAATAATGAAAGAACTCTTCCCTGATTTGGGAAAGGAAACAGACATGCAAGGCCAGGAAATACAGAGAGTCTCAACCAAGATGGATGCAAAGAGGCCCACTCCAAGACACATCATAATTAAAATGCCAAAGGTTAAAGATAGAGAGAGAATCATAAAAGCAGCAAGAGAAAAGTAGTTAATTACCTACAGGGAGTCCCCATAAGAATGTCAGCTGATTTCTCAAAAGAAACTTTGCAAGCTAGAAGAAACTAGCAAGGAATATTGAAAGTCATGTAAAGCAGGGAACTACAGCCAAGGCTGCTCTACCAGCAAAGCTATCATTTAGAATTGAAGGGCAGATAAAGAGCTTCCCAGACAAGTAAAACATAAAGAAGTTCATCATCACCAAACCATTATTATATGATATGTTAAAAGGACTTATTTAGCCCTGGCTAGCATAGCTCAGTGGATTGAGCGCGGGCTGTGAACCAAAGTGTTGCAGGTTCGATTCCCAGTCAGGCCACATGCCTGGGTTTCAGGCCATGGCCCCCAGCAACCGCACATTGATGTTTCTCTCTCTCTTTCTCCCTTCCTTCCCTCTCTAAAAATAAATAAATAAATCTAAAAAAAAGGACTTATTTAAGAAAAAGAAGACAAAAATTATGAACAATAAAATGGCAATAAATACATATCTATCAACAATTAAATCTAAAAAAGAAACCAAACAAGAACAGATACAGAATCATGGCTAAGAAGAGTATTTTGATGGTTACTGGATGGAAGGGGGCTGTGGGAAAATGGGTGAAGAGGCGAGGGGATTAAGAAGTACAAATAGGTAATTACAGAATAGCTGTGGGGATGTAAAGTACAGTATAGGAAATGGAATAACCAAAAGAACTTGTGTGCCTGATCCCTGGACATGAACCATGGTGTGGGGATTGCCTGGGGATGTGCAGAGTGCTGAGTAGAGGAGGTCAAAGGGGGAAAACTTGGGACAAATGTAATAACATAATCAATGAAATATAATTATAAAAGAAAAAGAAAACAAATTATTTTAAAAAATTTGCAGTACGTGTTTAACTTCTACTTCCATATGTATATTACTGTCTCTAGTACTTTATCAGATAGATGTTTTCATACAAGAATAAGTGATTTAGGGCTTTGGTCCAGCAAGTTACAATTCTGGGTTCCTAGACTGAGTCCCAAAATAACCCAGGAAAACACTTTAGAGAGAAAAAAACTGATACTGTCCTTTTTTAAATCAAGACTCAAGACAAAGGCAGAACCTGCTAGTGCCCACTTACTGCCTCTCTACTACAGAAGGGGTTGGCGATATGTAGCAATAGTGAAGATAATCTCAATTTATTCAGTCTTTAGAAGCCAAATACTGACTTCTACTGTACATTCTAGGATACCAACAAAGCAAAATAATTATGATTTCCTTTCAGAGAAACTCATATTAATGAAAGCCAAGAGCGGGAAAATGAGATTTTACTAGGCAAACACAAATATTTACTAAGCAGCTACTATACACTGAGATATGGAGGAAGCAAAACAGTCAGAAGACAAAGTAGCTGCCCTTAAGTTTGCTACTGTGCTAAAAGAAAGAGAAAGTATGTTTTTAAAAAGACTAAAAAACACATTTATACAAGATTAAGTACCAATGTGTAGGGGAGAATGAAAAGAAACTGAAGAGTAAGACCTTCCCAAGAGACAGTGTTGGGAAACAAGCCAAGCTGATCTGGTCTCCCAAGGTCTGGAAAGATTCAAGACTAGGAAGCTCCAGCTACTGCAGAAGGTGGGGTGAGAGGTAAGGGGTTAAAACTGAGGGGACTTATGGAAAGATTCTTCTGATGCAGGAATAAGAACCAACCCCTCCCACCCCCCCAACCCCACACACTCTAGGCAGCTGGATGACTTCCCTTTTCTGTCCCAACCACAGAAGACAAGTTTATTTTCTGTGAAATGTAACCAGAGAATTTCAGACCTGGGGACTGGCACAGAAGTAAACAAGGATGAGGCTCCTCAGTGAAAATGAGTGAAAGAAAACCCTGCCTCCTAAAGCATGAGAACCTTGAGCACTCACTTCCCTGACCCTGCTTCTAGGATAATGGCAACTAGCCTCATACTCTTCCCATCATTCCCACTCCTAGGTATAGGGCTGAATGATTCTGTTCTGGAAAATTTAATCATCATCATCATCATCATCATCACCACCACCACTAACCACAAAACAAAAAAAGCTACAAATACTGATATTTTTGAGTTTCACAACACTAGTTCACCACCTAATCGCTCAACAGTTAGGGACACCAACAGACAAATCCAGTCATCAGCTTTTTAATGCCTCATTGTCAAATATGAAAAAACAACTAAGTATCACTAAACATTTCAGGAAAGTCTCCAAAAAGAAAGATAAAACATGGAGACAAATCAGAAGAAACAAAGTTAACACAGGAAATAGAAGAAAACTTTTAAAAATACCCTGTAACATTCTCACAGATGAAATGATATTGTATCCATGAAACAAACAGGTGGCATGAAAAGAAACAAAAAGAGTAAGAAAAAAGAATCTCAGAAATTAAAAATATGAGAGGAAATTAAAAACAGAAGAGTTGGAGAAGACCAAACAACTGAGATTGAAAAGGAAGGGTAGATGGTTCCAGAAATAAAGTCTCAAAGGAAAAAAAGGGAAAATGGAAATTAAGTGGTACATTTGACCATGTAGAAACTGTACTAAGAAACTGTTGGAAGTGTGGGAAAAATTAAAGAGAGGTATACAGAAAATGAAACAAATGAAGAACATTGAGGCAATTATTAATTCCAAAAAGCCAAAAGTTACATGTAAAATGAAACATAATATAGTATACTCCTTGGCTCAACCATAAACCATATCTAGACTATCTTAACAACATAAAAACTGAATGCCAATTTAATCAAAAGTTGTAGTACAATTGTACTGGGAGGATTAGACAAGATGAAGCCAAGGGAAAAGCATAATAGGAAGTCAATATATAATATACAAAAAGGAAAGTAAGATACAGTAATGCAAGCATGTCATTTTGAAATGTAAAAGTAATGCCAGAAGAAGCAGTTCAGAATGATTGCCTCTAAGAAGCTGTATTAGAATTGTATTAGACAGGAGACTAATGTTGGATGTTTTAAGCTATGTGTACATATTAATTTAATAGCAAATATAATTGCATTAAACAGTGTCACCCAATACATTTAATACAAATTTTTTTAAAAAGAAAATCCATTAGAAAAATGGATCAAACACTAGGATAGGCACTACATAAAAAGAAGATATACAAATATCCAATTAGAATGTTTTAAAAATTAGTTGTCAAACTAGTTTAAAACCTCTTTAGATACAGGGAAATGATAAGAAAAACCATGAGACAGCCCTGGCTGGTGTGGCTCAGTGGATTGAGTGCAGGCCTGCAAACCAAAAGATTCCTGGTTTGATTCCCACTCAGAGCACATGCCTGGGTTTCGGGCCAGGTCCCCAGTAGGGGACACACAAGAGGCAACCACACACTGATGTTTCTCTCCCTCTTTTTCTCCCTCCATCCCCCATCTCAAAAAACAAACAAACAAACAAACAAACAAACAAACAAACAAAAACATGAGACAGTCCTGGCTGGTGTGGCTTAGTTGGTTGGAGCATTGTCCTAAACCGAAAAGTGGCAGGTTCAATACCCTGTTGGAGTGTGTGAGGGAGGCAACTGATTGATGCCTCTCTCTTGCATCAATGTTTCTCTCTCTCTCCCTCCCTCTCTCTTTAAAAGTAATGAAAAAATATCCTCAGGTGAGGATATTAAAAAAACAAACATGACACACTATAATACAAAAAATAATTTTAAAAAGGCTAACATATTGTAATATCCCATTACAGTCAAGTACTATATAATCATTTAAATGTTAGGAGAACACATGAGGAAAGGTATCTACAATCAAGTCTACTGGGTACAACTGAGTGAAAATACAAAGCAGGTTATGAAACTACAAAGACATATTCATAAAGCAATGTCTAAAGAAATGAGTAACAATACTTTTAATGGTGATTATAACTTCGGAGTGGGGTGGCAATTTATTTTTTAAAATTTTTATTCCCTCTACATTGTTTCCATTTTTTGTTTGATTTTGTTCTGTTTTCAGTGAGCACACTTTATCCTCATCATCAGAAGAAACAAAACACTATCTTCCTTAGGGGAAACTGTCAGCTTTAATAAGCTCAGATTTTAGTGTAGGTTGATAGGGCATAGAAAAGAAAATAAAGAAGAGGTCCTTAGAAGGGTCTAGGTAAGAATTTAAGATAGTAAAGAACATGACTGGCAGAAAATAAAAGAAATGCCTCGTAAATACAGCTGCACACATATAAATGTAATTGTGGGACTGAGTAATTCAAGATCTAAAGATCTAGAAATTATACGGTCCATTTGATCATGTAAAAAACTACTAGAAGACTGCTGGGAGTATGGAAAGAAGCACAACTATGTAGAAAATTATTCAAGTTAAAAATTATGAGGTAATTATTAACTCAAAAAAACTATTAATGACAAGGAACAAAAATAATTATTCTGAATAGCCATCATAAACAAATCAACAAACAATAAATGCTGGAAAGGTTGTAGAGAAAAAGGAATCCTAGTGCACTGTTGGTGGGAATGCAGACTGGGGCAGCCACTGTGGAAAACAGTATGGAATTTCCTCAGAAAACTAAAAGTGGAATTGCCTTTTGACCCAGCAATTCTACTGCTGGGATTATACTCTAAGAACCCTGAAACACGAATTCAAAAGAATCTATGCACCCCATATTCACAGCAGCACAATTTATAATAGCCAAGTACTGCAAGCAGCCTAGGTGCCCATCAGTATGAGTGGCTCAAAAGACTGTGGTACATTTGCACAATGGAATACTAAGCAGCAGAAAGAAAGAAGGAGCAACAGCTCCTTTGCAACAGCATGGCTAGAACTGGAGGGCATTATGCTAAGTGAAGTAAGCCAGGTGGTAAAAGACAAATACCATATGATCTCACCTATAAGTGGAACCTAATCAACAAAACAAACAAGCAAGCAAAATATAACCAGAGACACTGAAATAAAGAACAAACTGACAGTTACCAGCGGGGATGGGGGAGGGAAATAATGGGGTAAAGAAGGGAAAGGGTTGTCAAAGATCATGTATAAAAGACCCATGGACAAAGCCAAAGGTGGGCAGGATTGAGGGTGGGAGGTGGGGGTGGGTGGGGCAGGGGAAAGTAGTGGTGGGAAAATGGAGACAACTGTATTCAAACAATTTAAAAAATGATAAAAAAAAGAAATATATGCATAAAGTTATCTTTACCTCATAAATGATATACACATCCTTCAAAAAATCACTAGCTGAAAAAGAGCTTTATATATGTCAAGAAAAATAAAGGGTAAAGGTACTATTTTATTTTAAATAGCTTTGTTTTTAATTCATTGAGTGAATTTTTTTAAAGTTTAAATAAATTATTTTAATTTAAAAAAAATAATCATTCTGAGCCTAGAAACAACAGGGAATTATCTGTTCACAAGTTATGAATAACAATGAGTGAGCTTCTTACCTGCTTCAGTGCAGGGGAACATGGGATCAGCTCTCCTATTCTGTTAATCCCAGCATTGATTTTTTTCTTCCTATGCCTCTCCACTAGAGAGGGGAAAAAATCCATTTATCAAACCTACAGCCAAATTGCTTCATTCTCCCTAGGTAAAGAAATTTTAGGCAAAGAAAAACCTAAGAAAATCTCATCAAATAGGATCTACTGAAGACCAACTATAATAAGATTTCAAAGAACGTCATACTTTATAACGTAACTAGAGTTACAGAAATTGATATAAGCAATACTTTTATTTGCACTTTAAAGAATGGGATCTATAATAAGTAAACTCAAATTATAAATAAATTGCTAATATTGCATTACTGTTAGGCCATTATCATATTATATTTCAAGTAATTATTAGAGAGTTTAATAACCAAATTTCAAGAACTCACTAATAAATTAGCTAAGTACTAGAAAGTTGCCTCTTTATAGCACATGGGCTAATGAGACTTTTCCAGACAGACTAAAGAACCTTGAAATACCTTTTAGGATGACTAGAGTACATTTGTGGAATAGAAACAGCTATTAGTTATAACTTAAAATAGACAAGAAAAGACTGTGGCTTGGTTTTTCCCAAGGGGTCTGGGCTATTTACTTTGGCCATGTAGGATTTTTTTTTTCATCCAAGAAACTGGATAACTGACAACTTCTCAATGAACTAAGAAATGTTCCAGGCTTATATGCTACGACTTTAAAAGATGTATAGAAGGCTCAAGAGGATATAAGAGATGACCTAAACAATTTATATAAGACATTGTTAGTAGAAATATTAGTCTTGGCTATTTTCTTTTAAAAAGTTTTGCTAAACCTTAACAAAGGATTCCAGTGCTTCTAAAGGAATGGTCTTTCAAATTGTAGCATAGGTAGGTCTTGCTTTGCAAAATATATACTTTTTGCTTCATAATCTAGCAGTAAGAACTTCTTTTTCAATGACATCTAATCATTCTCAATAAATTAATATTAGGAAATATTTAAGGCACCATGTGACAGTGAGTCCAATAAAACATTCAGGTCATATATTCAAAAAAGATTAGATTTAACCCATATGGCAAAAAAAAAAAAAAAAAAACCCAAAACACAAAGCAATAGTATTTGTTTTTATCTAGGAGCAAATTTTTTAATGTGTAGAGGTAAAAAAAAATGTAGACTCTTTACCCACAGTGATAAAGGGAAATTCAAAGGCAGAAACTCCCTTCTGGGGAAGAGCAATATGCTACAAGTGTTCAACACATCTCTCCATAGATAAAATTTTCCCAGGGTCCTTTCCTTAGGGAAAGGAATATATATATCATTTATAATATAGATAGTAGAAATTATCTTCTAATTTTTTTTTAGATCTCAGCGAAGTTCCTGATGGAAAATAAATGTTATAAAATGCACCAAGTTGTGAACTACGCACAATTATGTCTATAAATGTTCATCTGGTTTTGGCCTATAATTTTGATGTTCACGACAAAATTAAATATTTATTTTCTACATTTCTTCCTATAATAATTGAGGACTCCGCAACTTAATTTAAGACTGTTCACATTTTAAGTACCTTTAAGATCTACAGCCTGCTGCTCATGTCTTCCCTATTCCTCTAGGCAGCCAGCCCCCTCTGGGATTTCTGCAAAGACACATACTGTTCATTCTATTTAGGAAAAGTATATCTGAAATCACTTAAAACACTAAAATCACTCAGTGGGTGAAATCACTTAAAACTCTAGCTCCAGGGGTATATTAATCCTTAAATTATCTAAATAGACAGTAAATCCAAAGATGATAAGCAAACAATATAAGCTGCAGAGGTGTTTTGTCAACTACAAACAATAAAGAAATACTTTCCCTAAAACAAATGAATAATGATTCTGTACTTATAGCATAAAGTTTATAATCAACTATAGTATAATTTTATTTTGAATACAAAAATGTTTACAAACAAAATTTAAATTGTTTCTACCTGCATTGTGTGTCTCCCGGTTTTTCTTTCTGAAACAAAAAGTATAGATAAAAGGAACATGAAAATAATAGAAAAACATTTTCAACACTTTGTATTTTGAGAACCATAAAAATAAATTTTATGCCTTTGTATTTGTTGCATCAATAAGAAATCATCTGAAAAAAATTTTCTTAACATATATTATGGTATGAAAACTTAACTGCAGATACATCAATATAAATTTTGAATCCACAGTTTCTGCAAGTAACTACAATTCCCTATTCTTCTATACCCACAAGCCATTGGTAAAGAAATAAATCAATCACTGAAAACTATTTGAAAATATAATTAAGGAGCTAGTCAACTGTCAAATTGATGTGCCAAGTAGATGAGTCATTGGTTGGGAAGTAAATCAATCACTGAAAACTTTATTTGAAAAATGTAATTAATGAGCTTGTGAATTTTCAAAGTGATATGCCAAGTAGGTGACTTCTAATATCTGTTTGCCTTGGCACCCAGGCCAAGGTGGGAGTGGCTGTGTAAAGGAAACAAGCAACAATAGAGAGGAACCTAAAAATCCCCAGGGAGGGAAGTATGGCAACCAGCAGAACCCATGCACTGACAATTGGCATTTTAGCCATCTTGAGGAGTTAGTTATATACCTTAAGTTATACAAACTCTTAACTTTTCTATTGTTTTTTTAATATACTTTTTTTCTTTTATTGATTCTAGAGTGTGGGAAGGGAGGGAGAAAGGGAGGGAGAAAGGGAGGGAGAAAGAGAGGGAGAGTAACATTGATGTGAGAGAGAAAATGCATGCACCCTAAATGGGGACCAAACTCACAACCCAGGCATATGCCCTGACCAGGGATTGAACCCAAAACTTGTTGGTTTGCAGGATGATGCCTAACCAACTGAGCCACACCAGCCCAGGACAATCTCTTAAATTTTCTTTTTTCTTTTTATAGTGTGTGATTTTTTAAAGATTTTATTTTTTTTTTTAGAGGGGAAGGGAGGGAGAAAAAGAGGGAGAGAAACATCGATGTGCAAGAGAAACATTGACTAGTTGCCTCTCACACCCCCCAACTGGGAACCTGGTAGCAACCCAGGCTTGTGCCCTGACTGGGCATTGAACTGGTGATCCTTTGGTTCTCAGGCCAGTGTGCTCAACCCACTGAGCCACACCAGCCAAGGCCTTAAATTTTCTTAAAAGCTAATCTACTAAAAACATTGATTTTCCCTTTCAGGTACCATTACTCAATACATTAACATTCTTGAGGAGCTATGTAGTAGGAAAAGAGAATAGTGATCTTAATATTAATGGAGACATTGACCATGTAATTCTAAGCAGAAACACTGGCCAAACACTGCTAGAAATCCAGAAGGAGGGTAATACAAAGAACACAAATAATACTGTACTGATGTACATGTTCACATTAATGGTTTCTAATACAACAAAATGTCTAGTCAAGTTGACTTCAGCCTATGTGTACTTAGGACCTACAAAGACTAACACTGTATGCAAATAAAATGTTCAAAAGAAACTAAACATTTAGAATAGATTTGGTATTGTACTTGTTACACTGCTGGCAAAATAAGGAAGACAGGAAATTTTAACTATGTACCTCTTTCCATAAACCTATTTCTCATTATCTACACACATTTTTGAAGAGTAATGGTTTTCTTAGGCACCCAAATAAAAGTTCCCTATGACTACCTATTTAACAAAGTAGGGATTAATTCTGCTTCTTGTCTTCTGAAACTATATTATTTTTGAACTGTGGCTACATACCTGTGCTGCTTTTTTGTAGGAGTCTCACTCTCTGTCATTTCTGGCATGGTTACAGTGACAGGAACCTACAAGCCATAAAAAGACACACCAGAAAGTTTAAAATCATTCTACTATCTCAGAGAAATTGGTTAATAGCAATTTGGTTCAAATACCAAATGCTAAAAACAATAACTATGACATCATGAAAAAAGCACTAGATTAAATGTTGGGGATAGAAAAAGATGTAAGAAAACAGGGCAAAAATATTGTATCTAGCAGACAGAGAACATGGTGAAAGTCAAATGTGAGGTATAGTCAGAAAGTGCTTGAGAAGATTGATGTAGAGAAAGTCTGTTATAGGCTTTGAAGTCAAGAAAAGCTTAAAGGGAATGTGGATTTGAGCAAGACCTGGAAAGACAGGTAAAACATACTTGAGCAGGGAGAGTATGTCCTTTGTTCATGATACAAAATTTAAACTAGGAACAATGGACTCTCTCTCTGAACACAGAAAAAACAAAAGTGAAAAGGAGACAAACATGTAATATTCCACACAGGGAAGCAAGCATTCATTCATTCATTCATTCACTCATTTGCTAGACCTCATTCATTTCAAATAGCTGGAAGTCTTACATTATCATTTGAGAATCATTAAATCTCAGTATGAGTATAAAAATTTTATTTACATTTAAAATATCATGACAGTGAAGAATGTATGTACTATAAGGAAATATACACATGTGCCAAAATAGCCTGAAAACAAACACATTAAAATAGTAATCATAGTTACATAAGGCCAACAATATTAGAGGTGGTTTCATTCTTTTCTGACTTTCAAATATTCTGTAGTAAAGACTTAAACGCTTTTAAATCTCAGGGGTTGACAACCTTTCAAAACAGTCTGTCAAGTTGAGCTACACAGGAGGACGTGCAGGTGTGACTCCCCATTTTCTCTCTGAGAGAAAGAAGGCAGCAAGAAAGAAGAAAACACAAATGTCAAATCTGGTTCTGCCATTTCCTAGCTGTGAGGTCTTGGGCAAGTTACATAACCTCTCGGAACCTTAGATGTTTCATCTGCAAAATGGATCATAATCATAGTAATTAGATCATTGGGTTATTTCATGAAAGGAATGAAAGAACGGAATGCTGGGAGAGCACAACAGCGTGGTGCCTAGCAGTAAGAAGAATTCAGTAAATGCTATCATGAATATTAATGAGGTATTTCAGGTTAAGGCTTTAGCCTTGAGAAGGAGCTAGAATGGTCCTGGCAAACAAGCAGAAGTGAAGGCAGGGACAGTGATGATGGGAAGTGCTGACAGTAGCAGCCTGAGGAGAAATGTGTGCTTAAGGCCCATTTCTAACAGTTTATTCCACCTTCTTCCGAACACTTGCAAAGGTACATACCTACCTAAAAGCATCACGCTCACAATGTGGGACATGTAAGTAAATAAATCGGTCACCTTTCTCACCCAAGGGCTTGCAGAATTTCTTCACTTTTGATTCCTAGCTTCCAACGCCTCTAGTTTCTGATCCAAATCTATCATCTTCTGCCAGAAGATGGTCTATAAGTTATGCTTTCTTCTTACTACACAAGAGAAAAATCAGTAAATGTTCATAGCAGCAAGTAAAACAAGAAATGGCACATAGGCAGATTTTTGCCTGCAAAATAATGAATGTACCGTATTTTGCCATGTATAATGCACTCCTGTGTATAGTGTGCACCCATGTTTTTGGCCCAAACTTTCAGGAAAAAAATCTTTCATTTAAATTTTTTAGTTTAACTTTCCATTTTTTGTATTTAGATAATTATTTTATTGTATTATAAAGGAACTTTAGCATTTATTTTTGAACATATTATGGTACAAAAAATTTTACATATAAATAATTATAAAACAGAAGAATAGATACAAGGTATTTCAGGTACTACCCATGTATAATATGCATCCTTATTTTTCCCTAAAAAATCTGGGCAAAAAAAGTACATGTTATACACAGCAAAATACGGTTAGTTCATTTCAAGTCACTTTCCCATGGCTTACCCATGCTCCATCCCCACAAAGACTGTAGTACTGCAGCTGTGGGATGGTTGGTCCTCAAGTGGTTCCTTTCTCTTAGGCATGCTCACTATCCCTTAAGTTCCCAGTGTCCTCCACCTAGCTCTTACACTAAGATCTGTCCTTAGTTTTAAAATTATCTTTCCTTCAATCTCTTACTCCCCCCACCCTCCTTGTCAGAATGACTGAAAACTTAGTCAAGGACCTTCCACTAAGGCAGTGACACTAGGAAGACCGTTCTCAGACCTGTGCACTGCATGAGCTCTGTAAACTAAAATTAATTTTAGGCTATAATAATGAATTAAAAGCATTTATTTGAGCAAAAAGAGCTGAGGCCCAGGAGACAGATTCAGGTAGCAACCTGAATTGTGTGCCACCAAAACAAAGGGGAGGCTGTTTTTTACAGCAAAGGTCCCCACTGGGTTCCAAAACAGGTCCATTTTAGGTAAATGAAGCATCCAAATTATGCAGTTCTGATTGGACAGGGCAGGTTTCAGTCCAATGGTAGAAAGACTAACCCAGGATTTCCCTGCAGTGCATAGTATGAAGCAGAGTTCAGGTCTGAGGTTCTTCCCAGTATAGAGTACATGAGGAGCCCCTGTCAGCAAATGGCTACTAGACTCTTATTGTCCATAAAATGTGGGCCTTGGTAGACCACGGGGAGTCCATTTTAGCAGATAAATCCCTTCTCCAGGTTCACATCAAATGAATCTTTTCTCTCAGGGTGTACAGCTTTAAAAATGTATAGATTTGGGGGCTTCATCCCAGACAAATGAGAAGCATTTATTGAGTAGGGCCCAGGAATCTGTATTTTCAACAAGGTTTCTGGGTGATTTTTCTTTTCATCTCCCACCCCCCCTTCTTCATCACCTCCTTTTACTTTTTCCCCTTCTTCCCTTCCTCCTTCCCTTCCTTCCTTCTTTTTGAGCAAAAGTGTTTGAGAAACTTAGTTCCATCCTAGGGCAATGTTTCCTAAATGTCCCTGATAAGAATTATCAGAAGGTACTATTTAAAAACACAAATAAATTCTCAACCCATCCCAGACCAAATGAACTAGCCTTTAAGCAAGGAATTTCAATCTCTAAAGGAGGGGTCTGAAATTTATTAAGTGCCCCAGGTGATTCTTATAAGGAAAATTTGGAAGCAGGCAAATATCTTTAATTGGTGAAATTTCTGGCACTAATATCCTATTGTAGGAAAAATTATTTGGGATGTGGCATGACAGTTGACCACATAATATTATCTATAAACCTGTGAAGTTAAATTTGCCTCAGACCCATGAGTCAACATTTGGTCATTAGCATCAAGTTTTGTTAGGTAGAAGTTAGAAAATGTAGGAGAAGGAGGACCTGGAAGGGGGTCCATAGTGCTTACAGAAAAAGCTCATAAATAACTTTGATTAACTGCTTCCAAGCTAAGTATCTATTTTTATACCAGGATGACAAGAGGTGGTCTGGAGCAAGTAAAGATCTGAGTTAACACACGTCCACCCATACCTACACTAAGGAAGTAAGTATGCACCACCTTTCCTGCCAAATGAATATGTAACTTCTTCACCCCACCCGCAAGCTAGGTAAATCCTCAGGACAAAGAGACCCAAAGTCTATGCCTCTCTTGCCCACTTTGCCTAGGCCCTTCCTCTTCCCTGAGAATGTATTACTTATAAACTCTGCCTTTATACTAATCAGCTTGCGGATCTTTAATTCTTTACTGAATTGGCAAGAACTGAGCCTTCCACAACAGTTCCAGTTGTTCCCCTCAAGCACTTTTGAAAGTTTGCAGATTCATGTTACAATTAAGAAACATGAAGTAAAAGTTCTACATTTCCTAAACACCTAGGATCTTAAAAGTAAATGACACCAGAGGCCTATCACATGAGGAAATGCATTCATTGCACTGTGGTGAAAACTGCTTCAACTGAAAAAGTTATACAACTGCAAATTAAAAAACATCCAGTTTACTAAATATCACTATAAATACCCATTTCAAACCACATTTTAACCAATTTAATTACATCTAATTCAATGCAAAGTTATTTCCATTTGCAAATTCTCCTCATATTAAAGTTGCATTCTTGACATTAGAAAACATTTATTGGAATAAGGAACTATATAATATTTGTAACTATATAAATCTTTGTCCACTCACTTATTAATTAATCTTCTAATAACAAAGTGACACTTCTCATACAATATTTATATAACTACATACAAACATACCCTTGAAAATACAGCTGGCAAACCCAAGGCCCGAGGCCCAATTCCGGCCCTCTACCTTGTTTTATCCGGCCCGGCACCTTGTTTCTATCCAGCAGCAGTGCTGAGCTCTAACTTAACTATTAAGGAATAGTTACATTTCTACAGTCCTAAAATTACATTCGGCCCTTTGAAGGCAACCATGAGGCTGATGTGGCCCCTAGTGAAAATGAGTTTGACACCCCTGCTTGAAAATATTTAAAGTGCTGTGGACAAAAAGAAGAGGCTCTGTAATCAATCTAAGTGAAAGAACGTATAAAGTGTGATCTGATTATAAATGCCTAACAGGATAGGTCACGTACCTGGCTGTACCCCTGGCCTATAAAAGGTTTATCTTTGCCTTAAGCAAGCCCTGTCCATTGTTCTTGTGAATCCAGGTTAATAAACCTTTGAAATGCCAAGAGTAATCCTCTTTTCCAGACTCCTCTGAAGAGTAACCAAACTAAAGGGAGAACAGAATCTTAACCCTATGGTAATCCAATCAGAGATCCCCCTGCTTTGCTTTCTTTCACCTTCCTATAATGTTCTGATGTTCCCATCTTAATTCCAAATGTATACAAGAAACTGCAAAAATGTCACTCTCCAAAGCACTTGAGATCTTGCTTCCCGGTACGTCCTCAGTTTGGCTCAAATAACCTCACAAACATTCTATACAGGTTTGGACATTCTTACATTAACATTGCCATGATTTTCTTTTTAAAAAAAGCTTCAAAATGGATCCCAGCTGGTGTGGCTCAGTGGATTGAACACCGGCCTGAGAACCAAATGGTCGCTGGTTTGATTTCCAGTCAGGGCACAGGCCTAGGTTACAGGCCAGGTCCCAAGTATGGGGCATGGGAAAGTCAACCACACATTGATGTTTCTTTCCTTCTCTTCCTCCCACCCTTCCCCTGTCTAAATATAAATAAATAAAATCTTAAAAAACAACAACAACTTCAAAACATTACATTAGTAATTACATGAATTATTTTTCATGGTAAGAAAGGATTATTTCTGAAATTAGTCAAATCCAATGGTTCTCAAAGTGTGGCCTTCAGTTCACATACACTAAAATCACATCTTTTAGCCCTGGCTGGTGTGCTGTAGTGGATTGTGTGCTGGCCTGCAAACCAAAAGGTTGCAAGTTCGATTTCCAGTCAGGGCATATGCCTGGGCTGCAGGCCAGGTTCCCTAGTTGGAGGCTTAGGAGATGCAACCAATTGATTTATCTCTTGCACATTGATCTTTCTTTCCCTGTCTTTCCCCACCCTTTCTCCTCTCTCTGAGAAGTAAATAAATAAAATTTTTAAGAAAATAAAAAGTCAAGTTTAAAAAAAATCACATCTTTCAACATTTTTTCCTTTTGAGGTAAAACTTACACTTAATAAAATGCCCTCAGAACTTTTTCTCCCTCAGAACTTTATAATGCATTAATTGAAAGTTCTATTTTGTCAAGCTCTCACTCTGCAGAACACTTTTAAAATTCATCCAGTAGTTTGTAATTTTTTATTATTGAGTAGGAATATGTAACATTGTGTCGATTTAAGTTTGTTTACTTATTTTTCTGTTGATGGGCATCTGGACTGTTTTCATGTTTTGGCTATTATGAATGAAGCTGCTATCCATGAACATTCTTGTACATGTAAGTCTTTTTGTGGATGTAGTCTTTCATTTCTCTTGGGTAAATACCTAGGATTAGAACTGCTTATCAGATACCTGCAGTTCCATGCCTAGGTATTTACCCAAGAGAAACAAAAGACTATATCCACAAAAACACTTACACAAGAATATTTAACACACTTTCCTCAGAGTAAAAGGAACATTTTACACTCCCACCCACAATGTAGGAGACTTCTGCTTGCTCCATAGCCTCGCTAACACTGGGTTTTCTCAGCCTATTAACTTTAGCCATTCTGGTGGGTATATGGTGTATAGTTTAATTTTCATTTCCTGATGGCTAATAATACTCCTTTTTTATGTGTATTTCAAGTACATTTGTAGAGCTGCTTCTGTCTGCTCATAACTTTTGTCAAATTTTTAATTAGATTATTTTTTATAGTTGATTTCTAGAAAGTCTTTATATATTCTGAGTTATATCTTCTGGATAACTATCCTTTGTTTGAAATATATTTTGCAAATATTTCCTCTTATTATGTGGCCTGCCTATGCATTTTCTTAATTGTGTCTTTTGGTAAACAAACATTCTTGATAAAGTATAACTTACCAATTTTCTTTTATTATTATTCCTTTTGGCATCCTCACCAAAAACCCATTAGCCATCCCCAAGATATTCTCCT